ACTTGAGCGCGTAATGGAAATAAAAACGAAATCAAGGTAAAACATTCTACTTGTTGATGGTGGTTTGTTCGAATTCCAAATTTAAAACATATTTGCGTGTTGTTCCCACGAGAATGTAAGTGCGTGCTCCTATTTCACCACGCCTAATGCTGATAGAGGACAAATCTTTGTTTTTAATTTATTTTATTATTATTTATTACTTAAGATGTCATGTGGAACACGGTGTAATGGTTGCAGCTAATTACAAACATTGTATAAAACAAAAGACTTGGCGAATAAAAATGGCGGAGAGTTTATTGGCAGTTCTTCTCTTCCGTTCTACGCCCTTGATTTGAGAACTGGATGTAAATTAGAAGCATTTCATATATATTTAATTTTTGACGTTCATAAGTGTACATTTTGTTACCTATATGAATAAATGATTTTTGAATTGAATTTGAATATTCTAAATGTTAGCCCAAAATACAGTGAAGTGAATCGTCGTGGGAATTGAGATGCATTGTTATTTTTGATGATCTTGATACTTATTTGGAAGAAATTGAAAATATATTTGTGAATAGATGAGCAAATATTAATTTCACATAACTCTGGTTCTTTCCCCATAGACTCTGCAGTTTCATTCGTCGTCAAGTCATTTTACTGTGTTTTACTGTCTGCACGTGTAGATTGGAATTTGATAAGATTTTTCATTTATCAATTGTTTGTTCTGTTACTCAATCATATCTTGGTGAAAATGATAAGTTTACAGAGAAATTTGTTCAAAAACTTTTGATAATGGTTCATTATTATTAAGCCTTAAACAAAATTAACTTTAAATTTATTTATTTATTACAGAAATACGTACATTATCCTTACAGACTATGCCAATACGATAATGTCGAGAAAAATAAAATATATAATATTAAACACATAATATACACAATATCGCTACTGTGAATTCATTTTGCGAACATATAAATATGTCAATAGTGTCCGACACAGCATTCAGTAGGCGCAACGTCTTTGATAACGGGAATCTGTGCAACAGACTGGTTCAGGCCCTTGGTACCTATATTATAATTACGTTTAATTGAACTTTGATTTATGGATATAATGAAAATAAACTTCCTGGCTGTAAACGAAACGTCGAATATGATATAGTAGAGTAAATATGTTGTTCTATGTGTATATGTTAAATAAGTTTAATGGAAAACAATATATAATAATCTTTTCCCAGCTTCGAAGGCTGGACATTTTTGTTTATAAATTGGAAATAAATGTACCTAGCATATGTCACTCAGTGAAAATGTATTATTCTAAATAAAAATCAATGGCGCTACAACCTTTTAGGTCTAGGCATCAGGTTTCTGTTTTAGTTTCCTGGTCATTTATTCTTTTCAAAGGTAAGTAGATGATCAGCCTTCTGCCTGAAGCACTTTTGGATCTAAAGCCGGTTTCCTGCGATGTTTTTCTTTAGATTACGGTCGAGATTGTTATGCCTCTTCGAAAGTCCATTGGTGCACAGCCATTACTTGGCTACGGCTTTTGGTTAGTATATTAATGAAATGCATTTTGACATCGGTCCAAAAACTTTCCTCAGTACAATACTAGTGTGAACAAAATGACTCATTCCCTTTATCATAACAGGTGTTTATCTTACAATTATCAGTTATTTGTAAGCTGATAGCCTATTTGACTGTCACATGATCAAAGGATTTCCGATATACAAATTCTTGATTTTTCATTACTAAATGCTGTTGATATCTTTAAAAAGAATAGTAGCTTCCATAATTATAGTACTCGTAATAAAGACAAAATTAGCGCACCAACCAGAAGGCTGCATAAAACGAGTAATTCTTTCCAAGGCAATTGTATACGTTTTTTCAATAAAATCCCTAGTGAGATACAAGTGTTGTCAGTACATAAATTTAAATCCTACATTAAAGTAAAACTGCTTGCTAAGGCCTATTATAATATAAATGAATATTTAAACGATCCTAGTGCTTGGATATGAATTGCTCCAGTATAAATAGGTAACGCGACTGAATCTGTCGGCTGCATTTCCAGACTCTGGGGCGATCGTCAACATCCACGACTGTTTTATTATGTAAAATGGGGAACAAACCGTGATCTATCTGGTATCAAATTATTTCAGTTTCATTAGTATTTTTTTTAATGTATTAATTTTCAAAACTTTTCATATTTGTATGACAATTAAATTCATTAAATTCATAAAATATCTTCCTTTTGCCCTCCCTCTAAATCTCGGGAATCTAAAGTTTTAGATTTGTATAAATACGAACAAGACTTAAAAATTTGTTTGCCAAAGAAGTTTCACCTCTGTCATGTGTAATTTCTACGCACGCACTTTTTAATACCTACAAATAATCCATATTTTGATCGGCATCAAGAGGCAGAAAATTCGATGCTCATTGTAGGCACAAATTGTATTATAGCCAATTAAAACATGGTTGAGAAGGAAGACCTTCAAAGAGTAATGTAACGTAGGATTATTAAATATGCAAAATTAAGATTATTACTAATTAAATGAATGACCCTGGTCGATCTCGATGACTGCCAACGATTACTAAACTCTAAAGCAAAATGATCTTAAACGTATATTATAAACTTAATAATGACTGTTAGAGTGAAAGAAGGAATAAGGGATGATATAGTCTTATGTATGCTAACAAGCGAACCAGCTTGTAACTACCATCACCCAATTTTGGGCGAAGGTAGAAAAAAAGACTCGCGTGTTAAAAAAAACAGTGGGGCTACAGCCTTTAAGGTCTGGGCGTCAGATTTCTGTTTATGTTTTTCTTTTAGACAGACACACGGCGAGTTTTTGTACCTAATGCATGCCGATTTCTTCACTACGTTACTTTACAGTAAGAGCAAGTGTTAAATGCGAACATAGAATGTCCATTGGTGCACAACCAGGCTTCGAACCTACACTCTCAGGATGAGTGCGCTTGAAGCCAGTAGCCCTATATCTCGCGAGTGTTTTCTAAATGTTTTTTAACGAAGATAAATCCAAATTTGGCGTATTCGCTACATTGAAGAACTTTATAACATCCTTGACGACGCCAACATCGTCCTATTCCAAAATAGCAACAGGCTCAAGTGGTTGGGACATGTGCACCGAATGACGGACGACAGAAACGTGACCAACCAAGATGCTTACTGAACTCACAACCTGGTGGCAACAGAGAACCCGGTAGACCGAGGCTGCTTTGGTGGGATGGAGTTGTCAAGGACCTCGAAGTTGGACTCTTAGAAGCTCGAAATAGATTGCGATTGCCAAATAACTATAAGTAGCCATTGATGATGATGAATGATCTTTTTGATAACCCCGATTGAAATGGCAAATATCTAAATTGGACGTATCTGCGTAGAATCTTGTATCTACGCTGCTATAGCGAGACATATAAATCATTCCCATATGCACAAAATGCACCGAATAACACTATTTCAATGTGGAATACACACACATAACCGTGTTTCATATCAATTCATACTAAATTGAGGTTTAAAATTGTTACGTTACACAGCGTAACGTAACAATTGCGTCATGAGTTTTGAACACTGGCTGAATATTTCATATATCCACCGCTTTCAGCCAGTGTTCACTGTATAAACAAGACGGGACAGTTGGCCTGTTATATACTTAGTCTTGCGGGGTTGTAAGCAGCCCAAGTCTTCTTCAAGAACTCGGTTTCTTCGTACCGAGAGGATATTTTGCTAGTCAAATATTATTACAAATTTATAGTGTAAATATAAAAATATATTTGTTCAAATATATCGTCGAATCATTTAATAATGTTAATGAGATAGTTATTGCAGATTTTCAACAGTCACTGTCCTGTCTACTTGTCTGTATTGTTAAGTTAGCTTACTATATGCGTCTATCAATCTAATTTCGCTTACATACAAAGAATTAGTTGCCAGTCAATTATTATTACAAATTAAATAAATAAATATTGCCTCAAAAATCGGTAATAATATTTAACATAGTAATGATAATTTTTGCAGATTTGTCAGAAGACTCTTTGACTTGACTATTATATTATTTTAAGTGTAAGCGTCTATTATCTTAATTTCGCTTACATACAAAATACACATGTTTTCAAGTGCTAAAGACTGTTATTTATCAACTATCTTGTTGTTTAGAAGCCTTATATAGTCCCCCTTTGATTAAACGTTGGTATTTCCACGATAGATCCTCTATCGTTGAATCATTGTCTATGTTATATATTCTGTTTATAAACGCAAATCATCAACGTCCAATGTGTAGTTGATAGAAGATAACTTTATATCTATTATTTTTAAAAATGAATCATTTACTCAATATTATCGATGAAGTAAATATTCGTAGAACTATAAGTCAGTTGAAAAAAAAAAATGTTTTATTTTGTTTGTGTTTGCTTGAACAATGAATCAAAATATAATTTGTAGATACCAAAATTAATAATACGTATTCGTACAAAAAATATATAGGACAAATTTCCAGCTGATTATTAAAGTTTAATCACAATCTTAGACCTGTATCTGCGAATCTTAAAAAGCCGTTGTCTTATGACCTTATTGTATCAAGGAACCTCTGTCTTTGAGTTGGAAGCAAGGTCAGATTATTAGCAGGGTTCAAATGGCTAAGATAAAGCTTTTTGTATTAGTAACATACAACGTTTGTTTAGTACTTAGTAATACTTTGTGTATAGACAATTACGTAATGGACTCATCTCAAATGAATTACGTAAAATGACATTTTAAAACCTGAGTTTTTCTAGAATTGTTAGTGCTCAAGATGAACTGGTGATAGATGTTTTGGAATATAACGTAGAACGCTATTTTCATAAGGCAAACGTAGAGAGTTAGGATTCATGTATAAATATAAATACTAGGATATCGTTTTTTGATTTAATCTAAAAGTGTAAATAGAAAATCTTCGCGTTCGTTCTTACATAAGGTGTTTAAAGATGCGTTCTCTTAGACTTCATCGTGTCTGAGTTCGTAAAATTCTCATGGGTATTCTTTCTGATATGCCAGGTGTGTCGGACACCCGTCCCATCATAGTATGAATGTTATACTATGTTATTATTTTATGGAACAAATTCATTATAAAATGCTTTTTCCAACAGTCAATCCTTGAAAAGTACTGCCCGGATCTTGCGGCGGGCAACACGGTCTGCTGTGACGGGGCGCAGCTCAGAAACTTGGACAAGAGTATAGGCGTCGCTGTCAACCTCCTCTCACGATGTCCCACCTGCCTGGACAACTTCCTCAAGCACATCTGCACTATGACGTGTTCCCCCAATCAGAACACTTTTTTGCACGCGAAGAAATTTGCGCCATTTAATGGTAAGAAAAATGTGATATAAAATCTCTTAAAATAGTGTGATTAAATGAAAGGAGTTGAATCCCAAGACAATTAATTATAAAAAGATTCGTTTTTAAATCCAAAATTAAATAGAAAAGAAGAAAATCTTTGGTAGTCTTTAAATTAGTTATAAGTGCTAATATGATCTTAAAGCAATCAATATCAATTTTTTTATGTTTACATATAAAATCTTACTTTAGACTAAATCGTAATTTTTAATGAAGGCAATTCAGATATTAAAAAATTCAGAATGAAGATCTGGGGGCCTACCATGAACTCTTGTTGCGAGCCTATTAACAACCTACAACTGAACTGCATAGCTATATGCTTAGTTCATATTTTTTACCATGACTTGAAATAAACCAGCCAGTTTAGGTTTTAACTGGACCTTAGCGCTAATTATTATGTTCATTCAATTTGTATTAAAATTCGTATCATGACAAAATAGACCACACAAGATGGTTGTTCTTTCGTTCGGTCTCGCGATTTTAATTCAGTATCCAGAAGGTGCGAAAAGATGCGATTCAAATTAGGAACCTAAACTCACCAGCATCTCAACTGGATAGTTTTAACAAAGCTGGTACCTGGAACTCTGTTGTCCACAGTTTACTGTCCTCTAACATATCTTATTCGTTCTGCAACTCCAGTATTGTAACACGTAAATATGATTTTCAGAAACGCATCAACAGGTGGATGAGATAGACTACCACTTGGGAGCTACTTATATGAACACAACGTTCACGTCCTGTTCTAGTGTAAGTAATAGCTGTATAGAGTAATTGAATTCTGAAAACTAATTAATTGTAAATAAAACTGAAACATTCTATAATCACAATAGCGCGATAGGGAAAAATCTCGATAGAAAAGGCATCAGGCAAAAAAAAGGGCGGGTTGCACTCCGGGAGTGCCGGCAGAAGTGAAAACTTGAATATTAACGTTGTGCATTTTTGATATTTTGGAATGGTTAGGTTAGGTTAGGTTAGCATTATAATTTTGCACGAATTGCTTTAATTATCAGTATTGTACTTTTACTATCATTTATGTGGTAGAATACAATATTTATTTATTGCGCCATCGTACACAAACATGACAATTTATATTACTTAATGTAATGTCGCCGCGTCAGCTGTCTACTCTCCATCCGTCGTCAGTCTGACCAATCGTTAATAATAAAGCTTTAGAGTTTAAACGTTTCGCAAAATTTAACCTTGATGTATTGACTTAAGGTCCAATTCCACATGCATCAATGTATCTGAGGAAAAAGACAAATGAATTAAAACCGAAACTAAATAGCACGAAGGTTCATAATCCTTTAAAAAAACATCCGTCTTACGAATTTTTCCTGACGCGAGTTCAATTTTATTTACCCATTCCAAAAAAGTGTACAACGCCTCTAAAGAAGTTTTCACTTCAAAAACTTTGTTTTGTATTTTTAGAATTAGTAAGACAGCATTCTATTTCTTTGTTAAAACTATTAATTTCGTATTCCTACAGCTATCATATATTATATAAAACAAAAACAAAAATAGAATACATAATATGTACAACAACGTTCAAACATAAACGAAACTTTTAAAAATTATTAAATACATTTAACGACTCATTGGTCTAGTGGTTAGTACCCCTGACTGCGAATCCATGGGTACCGGGTTCGATCCCCGGCTTAGACGTACATCGATGTGATGAGCATTTGGGGTTGTGCTTAGGTCTTGGGTGTTTAAATATGTATTTGTCTTTCTATCTATAATAAAAAAAAACTCAAAACATCTTTATTCATGTAGGTAAACAATTACACTTATGAATTGTCAAGTTAAATTAATTGTAAATTTACAATTAAATATGTATGTATATCCGTTGCCTAGTACCCATAACACAAGATTCACCAGCTTAGCATGGGACTAGGTCAATTGGTGTGAATTGTCTTTAAAAAAAAAAATAAAAGTAATACCTATTGATTAAGCTAATATATAATGTAAATGTTGCCTGTTTGAGATAAATTCATCTATATAAAATATGTAATAAAGGTGTTAATAGTTAGTATTAGTGTGATAGTGTTAAAAACATCGTATACATTAATATTTCAGGTTCAAATGCCATCATCAAACAAACTAGCGTTAGACTTGATGTGTGGTGATTATACATCTGAATATTGTACGCCCCAACACTGGTTCGATACTATGGGTGATGCTGCCACGCCCTACGTGCCATTTCAAATTAACTACATCAGTGGGGATGAACCAATTGATGGATTTACACCAGCTAACCCACCTACTAAACCGTGCAGTATTGGATTAACGGAGGTAAAGGAAAAAATTGAATTTTTCCTTAGATTCAATGATTTTAATGCTTATCAGTGACTTCACTATAGCCAGATTATATTTTTACGTGAACATTGCTGGTCTATTACTCTGTCTTTATAACATCGGGTAATCTTTGTAACAGAGACAGAATATCTGGTTTATTAGAACGAAGAAATATACAACCAATGTATAGTAATAGTATTTTATATATTAACCAAACAGGGCCCTAAATAAAACTTCAGATTTCTGAATCTGTTTCATCATTTGTCAATCTAATAGGAAAGTAGGTGATCAGTTTCCTGTGCCTGACACATGTCGTCGACTTTTTGGGTCTAAGGCATGCCGGTTTCCACACGATGTTTTCCTTCACCGTTTGAGCCAATGTTAAATGCGCACGTAGACAGAATGTCCATCGGTGTACAGCCTGCGATGGAACCTACGACCTCAGTGATGAGAGTCGCACGCTGAAGCCACTAGGCCAACACTGCTCTATAATATCTATAATCTACACCTTTATATTAATCAATGTTTTTTTTTAATATCTTATTTCGCAAATAGAACACTTTTTGCTTTACGCGATTACGACATTAGGTGTTGTAATTCTTAATTAACGAAATTTATAACATTACTAGTAGACTCGGCCAAGCGTTGCTCTGGCTAAGATTTTTGTTATATTACATAGTAGTAAACTATTCAAGGGAAACGGTAGGAGAACTTATGTGAAAGGTAGATGACAGCTTATGTGGAACGTTGATAATTTTAACACAGCGCCATCTGTTAGAACTGTATCAAATAATAAACAAATATTTTGCAATAAATTAAAATTGCGACTATAATTTGAGATTTAAACTATCCTATCTCTCAAGTTGGATCGAACTGCACATGGTGTGCAAATTTGATTGATATCGGTTCGGTAGTTTAGGAGTCCATTGAGTACAAACATTGTGACACGAGATTTATATATATTAAGATTTATCGATGACAGCTGTAAATTATTAGAATTTACTTAACCACACTTTACTGAACATTTTTTTTAAATGTATTATGAGGCTCACCGGATGTTAAGTGATACCGCCGTCCATGGACGCGCAAATTGTCGGAAAGCGCGCAAGTGCGTTGCCGGCCTTTTAAGAATTGGTACGCTCTTGTCTTGAAGGACCCTAAGTCGAATTGGTTCGGAAATATTTCAGTGGGCAGCTGGTTCCACATTGTGGTAGCGGCAACAATTGCCTTAAGAATCGCTCAGTTGTAGAACGAACGAACGAAAATAATAACAATTTTAATTACATAAAAAACATTACATAGTGCAACTGACGAACTTGTATTTAAACAATTTCTTTAAGGCAACCCTAATATCAAGTTTCATATAAAGTTGTGGATATTTTCCAGGGTCAACCAGGTTGCTCCTGCTTAGATTGCGCTGCATCCTGCCCAGCTCCGCCTCCCACGCCCCCACCACCAAGACCTTTCACGATCGCCGGAGGAGATGGATATGCAGTGTGTATGGCTATCGTCTTCGTTATATTCACCTCATTATTCCTTGGAGGTGTCTATTGCTGCAATCCCCAGGAGAATATCGTTGGTGAGTTTTCTCGTTAGGATTTGTGATGTACAATTTTTTTTTAACTGTTCAGCTGCGTTTAATCTGAACTAGGCTCAATTATTTTTCATAGAAATTAGAATTAGCTTCATCGTGGAATAAATTTAAGGATAAGATCGAGATGTAGCCCTAACGCCCGAGCCCAATAATTCATCCACAATCTCAGATTGAAAACAATCTGAGATAAGACCGTGACAGTCGATCGATCTCCTATCTGCATCCCAATAACCAAACCCTACGAAGACAATTCAATTTTGGGGACGGATAAAATGCTCTTTGTCGTTCCATTTTACCGAGTTTTCACTCATATTTGATAATCAATGTGAACCAAATAAAGTAAATAAAACCGTACAAATAACATTGAAATATACATGTGTATGTTTAAAACATAACAAACAGTTTTCTTAATTATTTAAAAAACTGATGTAAGTTAAAATCTGTTAAAATAATTAACTGTTGAAATCGAGCTTTCGTCAACTGTCATTTTCATACAAAGGTCTATCCACAGACACGGAACCGACCTCCCATGGATAGCTTGTATCGACAGATGGCTATTACAATCCGTCGATTGGTTATTGGCACACTTGTTTCCTCATTTGGATTACTATCTCAGATGGTATTGGGTTCGGGCGTTAGTCACATCAATTACTCCAGTATGTCAAAAACGTATTAGATTTTGACATACCCGAGTCATAGTCATGTCTCGTTTATGACGTGATGAAGATGGCTTCCGATAAGCCTGCAACACTTATGAGGATAATCTTTTTGCAGTTGTAATACAAATTATATACATTTTAAATACCATTTATAAGTAAGTTTTACACAGCTGTGTCTGGCATTCACCCAGCCTTAAAGAGAACAGAAATAATATTGTTGACGAAATGTCGTAAAGGTCAATGACCGTGAAGTGAATGAACCCAACGCTACGTCCTTGAACTTGGACATATTGTATCAATTACTTAGTTGATTATTGCATTTTATATTGAAGTAATGGTGAAGGAGTAGTACTAACAGTTTTGAAAAACAAGATGGTGATGGCTGAATACTATACAATTGAAATATCACGTTATTGACACTTGCAATTTATTTTATTATTTTAAGCATGGCCGTGTCATTAAGGGGCTATTCAGCACTTGGAATTACCGCATCCACTTTACACTAGATTTTCTAAATTAAAACCCGAATCGGCCTAGTACACGCAATTGTAAAAGGTAGTTTGTAAATGGATGTGTTAATTTATCAGTTGACAGATATTTTATACTCACAGGTTTGATCTGTCACGTGCTTGCGATAATGCAAATATATTATAATTTTTAAGAGTCATCCTTCACAAAACTGAACATTTTTGAAGTTTTACTATTGGTTTTATTTAAGTTAAAATCGGGTTGGAATAAGATTTCTCGATAGAGTTATTACTTACGAGCGGCCTGCGTAAATCTATGCAAGAAAAGTATAATTTTCTAAAAAAGGTATAATGAAACTATTTACAAAACAGTAAGAAAACAAACTAGGCAAAGCGGCCTGTGTTCCGGCTTCGAAGGACCTTTTTTTAATGTTTTGAAAAAAAAATATAGCCTTTGTTAATAGGATTTTGAGATAATTCAATACGGTCATAGAAGTCCTTCCTCTTTATAGTATAGAGAAGGAGATATTTAAATTACTAAAAGTAATTTTCTTTTGCACGAAATGTATACTTTACTCTGTCGCTGTTAATTCTTCTTTGATTCATACACTTGACAAAGGGACACTCTTAGAATTGAACAGATTGATTGTCCAAAGTTGTGAGGGATGACGATTTGGTAGTCGGGTAAACTAACCGGGTGGTGTTGGGTTTGGGACAGAGTCGTGGAGGGCCGGAGACCGCGACGGACCAGAGACAAGCCCGCTACACACGCATAGATCTAGTACGTATACGCCAAGTAAGGTTGGCAAGGTGACATCAGGCGTAATTGTCGTAAAACTAAAGAAAATCAATGACGGATTTCGTAATAAAATTTTGTTAACAGTTTTTTTTTTTAATTATATAAAAAAAATGTTTTTTAATTGTGGTATTAAAGAGTTTTTCAGAATGTACTCAAATAGGCCAGTGAACACGGAAATAGTAATCAATGTTTAATAAATTATCTTTCAGAGTTTGAGTTTGATTTCCGTAAAAGATTACGTTGATTATGGTTTTGTCTTTAAGAGTTCAACGATGTATATTTGCTCCTGATGTCATCTTAGTCCAAAATTCGTAGAATAGTGCTTTGTTTAATAGTTTTGTTCTGTCCACCTTATAACACGTATATTGCATGCGGTTTCATTATTTATTATAATGGTTTTATGATTGATAGCAATGACTAAAAGTGCGATTGCCGCACTGGTGTTAAAACAAATTAAGAGAAAGAGTTATAAATTGTCTTTCTAATTTGATTCCATTACGGAATGAGCCTTTTTCTTAAAAGGCCTGCAACGCACTTGCGAGCCTAGCATTCTATAGACAGCAGTATGACAAAATCAAGAAAGTTTTCACCTATTATTTTTCCTTTATAGAACTTATGTGGAATGTTCTGAAATTACGTGCTAGTCAGTGATAATTTTTTACTTTTTACTTGTGCCAGAAGGCAAATATGTCTATTTGTGTAATCTTAATAAAAAACCTTTTTGGAGAAGTACGCATGGTTTTATTCCATTCAGGCTGGTTTAGCAGCTATTTATTAACAATAACTTGCAATTATAATACCTTTTAAACGGGAAGAGATAACTTCCTTTGTTTTTTTTTAATCTGTTAAAAAAGGAGTTTGAATGTTTGGATATTGCTGGAATTGGATAATATTTGATCATAATGACATAGGCTTCCTAGCATGCGTGCTAAATTTCCTAAGTGAATGTTTGTTTACCCACAAATTTCTTGGAGACTAAAAGGCATATCCGGATGATTCCTTTTTATTTCAAATATAAATGTTCTAATTAAGGGAACAGTCCAATGTTTAGCAAAAACTCATGTATAGTAGGCTAATGATCTTGACAGGTATATGTTAAAAATTGGTTGATTTTTTTAAAATTACTAATATTGATTCTGTATATAGGCGTGGCATCCGAAAATAATCAAGATATGCCCACAAATCCTGGAGCTGTCGGCTGGTCGATTGATCAACCGGACGGAGCTAATGACGCCACATTCTTTGAGAGGCTCGGAGCTAAAACTGAGACGAAACTGGAGGACTTTTTCCAATGGTGGGGATGTGCTATGGCCTCGAGGCCGTGGATTGTTTTGTTGATGGGTGAGTTTGTAAGACTATTTTGGAATATATTTGATTAGCGCAAAGTTAAATCTACCTTCAGCAGCTGTTAAACCATTTTTTCTGTAAGAAGTTTGACATATTGTCAAATACATAAAAGTAGATATAAAAAAATAATACTAATTAAAACATTATTTGTATTATTTTAAGCTATTGCATAGATTTTATCGCGGGCTTTGAGCGCGGCGACCGAATCAAGAAATTCCGTAACGAAAATAAACCTAATATACGATAACGTAATATTTGTACGGCCGATACGCGTTAGAGTGGGACAGAACGCATACTGCGTATTCACATCGCTCTAACGAGATTGGTGACGTAGCGTAAGCGCGGCTGGTGCAGCCGGTACGCGTTAGAGTGAAACAGACTATATAGGCGTGTTAGTCTGAGTCTGGTAGAGTGGAAGATTGAATTAATATCAAAGAAAAAAATACTGCGTAAATAAAAAATAAAAAAATTATAATTGCATAAGTTGATAAAAAGTGCTATGCAATAGCTTTACCGCGGCAGTCCCCGAGTGCCACACGTATTTTTAATTTAGTTTCGTTGAGTTATTATTAGTAATTAATAAAGTTATGTGGTCTTCTCTCGTTAAAATATATATTTCCATACTAAAGGCCTATTATTAAAATAACTAGTGTGTTTGCTTAACAATTAAACATATTTAAACCTATTTCTGGTATTGCAGGTCTATGTGTGGTAGTTTCTCTGGGTTACGGCATACGGTTCATGCAAGTGACCACAGATCCGGTAGAACTATGGGCGGCGCCCAACTCCAGATCGCGTCAAGAGAGGGAATACTTCGACTCTCACTTTGAGCCGTTTTATAGGACAGAAATGCTTATCATCACCGCTAAGGGTCTGCCGAAGCCGGAGTACACGGCTGCTGATGGCACTACTATAACCTTTGGGTCTGTCTTCAATTCGACGTTTTTGTTGGATGTGCTGGAGTTGCAGAATAGGATAATTGGTGAGTTTTTTATAGACACACTATATGGCATACCCATGCGACTTCTTCGAAAAAAAGAGTCCCCTCGTGAGTTGTGCTGCGATATCGCGGGCTTCATTGTAAGGAAGTTGCATGGCGCTGCGCCTATCTTAAGTTCTCATGTCAATTTCACACGTGTATATCTATAGAAATTGGATAAGTTCGATTCCAAATAAATATTTAACTGGGGGGGTAAACAATTTCCGTTACAGTACGACGTCACAAAACTACACACAATGTAGGTGTTGCTTAAAGGCCGGAAACGCACTTGCGAGCCTTCTGGCAATGTGAGGGTCCATGGCCGACGGTATCACTTAACATCAGGTTTTAGGCACGCATGGGGTATATGCCCTCTTCGGGTGGAGGTGTTCGCGCCCTGCTGATACACGGGCGGTACGGGGACTGGCTATTTTGCCATTTGAAGGGGGGCTGCAGCGCGAGAGGAGAACAAGGGTTCCTCCTGCTCATTTATTATATAAAAAAAATTATATCCAAGTATTAGACCTCACACAATCAAATTGGCACCTGACTTTAACAGATGATGTCAATGACAATCAATATGACATCTTTAAGGTGTCATTATTGTCATTTGAAGATTTTAATTCCAATATTTTTTCGCAATTTTTAAATAAACGTATCGAAACATTTTAAACGATATTGAATACTAAATAAGAGCTTTATTACTGAATTAATTACTGATTCATGAAACAAGAATATCGGAAGTCACAACAAACCTCTTACAAAGTGCTGCCACCTAGTAGCAGCATTCAATATTGAAATAATTTGCAGCCTTAGGAAACGAGACACGCATAGAGGACATATGCTTTGCCCCACTCTCCTCTCCGTTCAGTGGGCCCGTGACGGCTGACAAGTGTGGTATCATGTCTGTGCTCGGATGGTGGGATAACGATGCCAGCAATATTGAGGAGAATCTGGAGGATAATGAGTATCTGTCGCAGGTCATCACATGTGCCAAGTAAGTATTTATACGAATATAATTTTTTTGGATGAGAGGTCCAATGGTGTTAGGTGGTGTACTGTATACTCTGATTTTTATTTCCGTAGAATTCTGACATTTCATAAGTTTTGCTCCTAAATCACCGAAAAAGGGACAAATTTGACCCATTTGAAGGCATTACAAAATTAAATGCGACGTATTTTTCACGTTCTACAAAAAGGTAAATCTAATTATTTACGTAGTCAAATGACCTAATACAGAAATAACAATACATCGAATTAACTTTAATTACTTTATTTTATTATTTAGCTGTCATCACTGTCTACTAATTACAGGTTTACTAAACCTTTTTAAAAAATAATTTGTTATCTTTACTTTTGCGTTATTTTACTGTTAGTGATGAAAAGGGACGTAATTATCACTCGCCGTAAAACCACTTTTAATGTGGACTACCACACTTAATAAAATTGATACATTCACTAATAAATTAAATGTATGAATAGACTCAGATGTTCAGACTCGTATTGAAATTGAAAATTGTGTCTGGCCAAAAGGTTTGTCATCTCTGACATGTCAAAAAATGATACCTGTCAGAATTCTACGGAATTCAAAATCAGAGTATAGTGTGGACTCCGTTTCCGCACTTAGACGCCCATTTGGTCCGGTTTAAAGTTCTGGCTTACTAAGCCAGTCTAGCTCTCAGAAGTGGGCACTTCGCAGGCTTCACAGCAGCAACAGCTCCGAGGACTTCTGATGTCCAATGGTTTTAGTACATGGAGTTAAAAGCTGTGTTAGAATATATAAATTTATGAAGGGGATGGGTTTTTAATAAGTAAATTAAACTACTAAACACATTTCAATAATATTTCACTATTATATATTTACTTACATAAAAAAATATCCAGCAGAACGGAGGCAGGACGGTATTATTAAGATTAATAATAAAATAGCTATATCTACAATTAATTATGCATTCAGTTTTAATAAATAATTTAAAATGTAAACAATTATTTTTATTAGGCCTTCCCCAAACATTTCCTTATATAATGTTTAATGTTTAAAGAACTTCTCATTACAAAACATGTATTTTTATTTACATGAGAAACTTAATATAATATAAATATACGAACGAAATACTGTAACATCCCGTTGTCTATCCAAATTAATCAGGCATTGAATTATAACATTTATATCCTTTTTATATACATAAAGCTTCTATTATTTATAAAAAAAGAAATCACTTTCTGTCTCTCTGTCTTTTTCATTACATAAACACAATTTCAGAATAACACGAATGAGTACTTTTGTTGGAGTGAAATTAGATTTTTTTGTGAATAAGGGGGAAATAAGTTGATACTTCTCATATATTTGTTTATTAGGCGTAAGAAATTTTTTTTAACGAAAGTAGTGTATAAGTTTTAATATAATCTTTCGTTTCCAGCAATCCCTATACATGTCTCGCCCCGTGGGGCGGTCCGGTGTTGCCGGCCGTGGGCTTGGGAGGCTTTTTGGCCCCCCAGGAACAACTCACCAAGAAATCTCGCTTCCACGAAGCCACTGCCCTTATTTTAACCATTCTTGTTAATAATAGACACGATAAGGAGAAGGTACGTTATAATTATTATTTATTAATATATTAAAAATTTTAATTAAAAAAAAATAAAAAGTATTTTACTCAAATTAAAAATTCAGATATATTTGTTAGATATGTAGGTTTACGAACACGTTTTAACGTAACTATAAATACTTTGTATGTAGGGGTAATACATTTGTATCGAAAAAAAATGTATCGAAGAAGGAAATATATTTTTTATTTGTTTGGTCAAATTCAGTATTTTTTATGTTGAATCGATTAAGTTTTTTATTCATATTTTTTATATATTATCTGAATGTGGCTATTTAAGATGTATTTGTACTTTATTCCACCAGTTACAAGATTTAAAATCAAATGACAACCAATTACCTGGTTCAATACAACCTTTAATGTTAAGCTATTTTATCTTTAAATTTAAAATTGATTTTGCCGGGAAACTTAGAATCGCCCAGTTATTTGTATTGATTATGACAAAATTCAGATTCAGAATTCACTAGGTGTTCACGAAGCGCGTTACATGGGGGGGGGGTCCAATGATCTCCAAAAATTGTGTGACGTAATACTTGAACGCGTGAAAGTTTTCATAACTTTTCTATTTTTCAGCTGAAACCAGCAAAACAATGGGAAAAGGAGTTCATAGCATTCATGAAGAACTACACGGAGAATGAGATGCCGGCGTACATGGATATTGCGTATACGTCCGAACGGTCCATCGAGGACGAACTCGACCGCGAATCGAGTTCCGACATTTCGACTATTCTCGTCTCTTACTTCATCATGTTCGCGTATATCGCCATCTCGCTCGGACGGTTCACTACTTGCGCGAGGCTGCTCATTGACAGTAAAGTCACTTTGGGATTGGGAGGTTAGTTTGTTTTGCTTATAATATGAATTCATTTACTATATTATATAAAACATTTTTGAAGTGAAACTTCTTTAGGCGCATGAGGGTAATTTTTTTACGGAACATCACGAAGATGTGCAGCGTTTTTATCGATGAAAAGGGAGAGTGCGATTGAGAGAGAGTGAGAGGGGCGAATTACCTTATAGAAATTCTGTTATTTAAATTTCGTAAAGAGAATTTATGAAATATTAGTATTTTATATTTTATGCAAAATATTTTTTTGAAATCTCAAATGACGAATTATAAATTAAAATGCCACGTGTTTTTACACTTTTAAATATTTTAATGAAAATTAAATTTACTAAATTCCTAACATATTTTCCTTTTTCCCTCCCTCTAAGTCTCCGAAATATAAAGTTTTAGATTTTTATAAATATGAACAAGAGTTCGAATTCGAAAAAAAATTATTTGCCAAAGAAGTTTCACTTCTGACGTGCTTTGTACGCACGCACTTTTTTTTCATAGAAAAACTATTGTTGACTCTTAGTTATTTTTAATTATAATTATTAATTAATTTTATAAATCTTGCAGGTGTATTGATAGTCCTAGCATCGGTAGTGTGCTCTATCGGTATCTTCGGGTATTCGGGCGTGGCAGCCACATTAATCATCGTCGAGGTGATTCCCTTCCTGGTGCTCGCCGTGGGAGTGGACAACATCTTCATCCTGGTCCAAACAAACCAGAGAGAGGGAAGGAGACCCAACGAGACCATTGCTGAACACATCGGCAGAACGTGAGTTCAAAGTATTATAATTAATAATGAACTGCACCTGTGTGAAACTGTGCCAGGATGATGAGCCTGTCCACAAAAACTGATGTTTGATTTGCGCGTATGTGTGCGTGCGTGCACGCAGGTATGGGATCGTTCAAGTATGACGTAACGAATTTTGGGGGGGAGGGTCCTTTGTTAAACGTTACAATGCGGGCCGGGGTTTGAATTACGCGTAATTGTTAATATTATTTTCGACTTTCCAGTACTTTACACCACAATGATATTTTAAAGTAATTATTCTGACTTAATATGGAAATGTGTTTGAAGATAATTAAAGTATTTATTTATTTGTATGTTCTATAACAATGTGTATGCCTAAAAAACAAGGAAATATGACATTACAAATTTAATACACAAACACATCAATTACATAAGGATATGAGCAATCTTTCAAGGGAAAAAAGTTAAACAAATAACCACAAAATAAAAATAAAAAAAGTAAAAAACTATTACTTTACTAATTAAAACTATTAGATCCTCATTGTGTGTGTGTATGTGTGTGTGTGTGTGTGTGTGTGTGTATGTGTGTGTGTGTGTGTGTGTGTGTGTATGTGTGTGTGTGTGTGTGTGTGTGTGTGTAACACCTAAAATAAATAGACCTGTGGCAAAATAAATGCTCACTTACTTAAACTATCGTTATAATTATATATTTAATTAATAAAATGTTGCCTTTACAGTTTGGGTCAAGTGGGTCCCTCGATGTTCCTCACCTCAATATCGGAGTCCGTGTGCTTCTTCCTCGGAGCCCTGAGCGACATGCCGGCAGTGCGGGCCTTCGCCCTCTACGCGGGTGCAGCTTTGCTGGTGGACTTCTTGCTGCAGGTCACATGCTTCGTGGCCTTGTTGGCTATTGACACGAGACGGCAGAATGCTAATAGGTAATTGGCTGTACTTGAACACTATATGGTCTTCTCTTTTTGATGGAAGGTGTAACGGGGCTGATTACCCTTCTCCAACAGAGAGACTTCACATTCATCCATAGAACATAATAACTCTTGGGCAGGGGCCCTCTTGGGTTGGGGGCCCGTGGCAATTTCCCAGCCCTACCACCCTACTGTTACGCCACTGACTTGAACGGCCCCCTACCTTAGGAGTGTTTTAATAATTCTCCAGAAAATAAAAAAAACAGAAAGGAATCCAGGAATCTGATGTCGATACTAAGGAGGAAGAATGTTTTTTTTTAGATTAAGGCTTATAATCAAACCCTGCCCTCTGTTAAAGAATGCCAGTCAATTAGGCGTTGATAGAGTTTACAGAATAGCCCTGCTAAATTCCAGGTATGACATCTTCTGTTGCCTGTCGGGCACTAAGACCGAAGTGAGTGAGAACAGCGAAGGCGGCCTCTACAGCCTCTTCAGAGACGTGTACGTTCCTTTCCTCATGAAGAGGGAAGTTCGGGCCTCCGTTATGGTTATATTCTTCGCCTGGCTTTGCTCGTCGGTTGCGGTAAGTTTTTCATTCTTATACTAATTCTTAGTATAGCAAAAGACGTATGTATTTTTTAACTTTTCTCAAGTGAATAGAAAATTCAGCTATAATTAGATATATGGAAATAATTTAAGTTTTAATATTAAACATATTTTCTTGATAAATTAAATTAAGAATAAAATTTTGTGTGTCATTGGTCTGAAAACTAAATACTTCTTAACTATTTATTAAAACGAATTTAGGTAGATTTAATTAAAGCTAAGTGATGTTCCGTCTCTTTCTGTCATATTGCGTTTACGCTTTGAAGAAAAGAGACTAGTTATTTAAAATAGTAGACTGATTTTAATATGAATATTGACTTACAACTGCCGTATATTATTGTTATAATTTGCTTTTAATCTAATTAAATCGCCTTGAGAAGAAGACTATCCTGTACACAGGTCTTAAATAGAATAATAATACCTATATGTAAATCTAACGATTCTCGAATCTACTTGAATACATTAAAATCAGTTTAGGGCTTTAATTAAATATTAAACATATACTCGTACGGTATCAACGACATTTACATGTCAATCATAAATCGAAAATATATTTGACAGCAATACATTATAATAATACTAGTGGACCCCACAGACGTTGTCCTGCATGATATTTAAAGCGATTAGGATATTAAGCAAAGTATGAAAGTACCGACTGCAGTGCCATCTGCCGGGCTGATTTGTGAATCTAAACCATTCCCAGACTCCCTTTGCAACACACAAAAAAAAAATCTTCATCAAAAAAAAATAAAATAAAATTTATTTTTATTTTTTTTTTAAAAAAAAAAAAAAGGAAAAAATCGGTCCAGTCGTTTGAGAGAAGTTCAGTGAACATTTACATGTCACTCACAGAAGAATTATATATATAAAGATGCTTATTTTTTTAATATTTTGTATGTTTTCCATCGTTTAAACCTTTCCTGAATTTCCACAAATCATCATGATCGTAGAACAATGTCGGATTTGAAAAACAAACAAAATCCACTTTTTATTATATTTGGCCGGCTACATTAAAAAAAATCCATATGTTTTAAATATCGCATTAATCAGTCGGTAAAGTGACGGATTTGATAGAAACATGTGATTTTTCTAGAAAACTGTGTAATTTAATGTACTTAATTATTTTTATTTTGTTTCAAAACAAACCTTTTTGTTTGCTTGTATGCCAATTTTCTTAATAACAAAAATGTGAATTAAAAAAGTTATAACAAAAACTAACATGATTATATTATTTTGAAATGGCTGCCCTGTAAAGTTTACTGTTTGTCAGATCCGTCGCTATTCTACCACTATGACGTAATATTTCAAGATCATAATGAAACAAATCGGTCCAGCCCTTCGAACAGCAATTCGTTTATCTTATATATACAATTTTTGTGTCACAATGTTAGTTACCATACTCCTCCGAAACAGCTTGATTTTTATCAAATTTTGAGAATCGGATACTATCTATTTTTCATACCCCTAAGTGATAAGGGTTGTTTTTTTTTTTTTTTTTTGACGGATTTTTATTTTTTTATAATGTGCCATTAAAAAATACATACAAGTACAACCCTAAATTTTCACCCCTATACCACCAACCCTTATTTTTTATTTGTTAATTAAAATCTTATGACTTGAACTCCGAGGTTTATATAGAGAAAAAGGTAGGCTAAGTAAAATCACATTAAGGAGAAACGAAGTTCGCGGGGGCAGCTAGTATTTATATAGAAAATTATAATTATCAATTACGGTTTTAGGTCGCCCCCCATATAGACATCGGTTTAGATCAAGAGCTCTCCATGCCCCAAGACAGTTTCCAATTGAAATACTTCCAATACCTAACGAAATACCTGAACATCGGTCCACCGGTTTATTTCGTGGTCATGGAGTCCGAGGCCTTGGATTATTCGGATGTGAATGCGCAAAACATGATCTGTGGCACGAGGTGGTGTCGGCCGGACAGTGTTGCCAACCAATTGTACTCGGGTGAGTTATAAAAACAAGTGCAAAATTATTATTTTATATGTTTTTTATAGTTTTGATTTAATTTAAAATAAAATATAATTTTTCATGATGTATATAACTGTACATTTCAAAACTCCTTGAAACTTGTTAGACTTTGAAGAAGCCAAACCGAAAAGACTTTAGTAGTTTTTAAAAGTTAAAATTAAAAAAAAGAGGAAATTTATGGATAAATATCACTTTCGTGTGTCAAAAACGCATTAAGCTTAAATCTCACTCTACAAGGCTAAACTTTAGTGAGTCTTACCGCTGAAGGAACGATTCAGAAGAGATTTAGCGTACGTACGCACGTATGTACACACGTATGTACGCACGTATGTACGCACGTATTTACGCACGTATGTACGCACGTATGTACGCACGTATGTACGCACGTATTTAGCGACGTCTGCCAAAAACGTATTGGGTTTCTCGTCACGCTTATAAAACTAAGAAAGCCTGAGTAAGAAAAGTGTAAAGGCACATTTATGTCTATTTTACCTTTTCTGTGTGTATTATTAAAAATATTGATTTAAAACATTCTCCTCTTTCAGCGTACCGTATATCCAACGTGACGTACATAGCCCAGCCCCCGAACTCTTGGCTGGACGATTTCTTCGATTGGGCAGCTTCGCCCAGCACTTGCTGCAAGTACTTCCCGGCCAACGAGAGCTTTTGTCCCAGTTCCTTTGGTGAGTTTTAATATTAAAAATACTCGTTATATAAAACATAAAGGTTATCAATATTTAAATTATGTATAGTTTTTGGTTAAATGCGTTAATTTATTTAATTAATAATTTATACGTCGAATTGATAACCGGTTTTTTGAAGTCGGTTAAAAATCATGCCATAAAATTATACCGTATTGGCAAATGTAATTAAATATCACGTATTAACTTTAATTAATATTTTTAGCTTTATCCGTAAATATGGCTTTAGAATTTTTAATAATATTTTTTGTGACATTTAATAAATTTATGTTTAATTGATTCATGAATGTGTCCAGGTAATCCACCGTGCAACAAATGCAATATGCCCCTGGTGGGGCCAGAGCAGCGTCCGACCCCCGGAGATTTTGAGCGTTACATCCCTTACTTCCTCCAGGACAACCCCGAAGCCACCGGCTGCGTCAAGGCAGGTCACGCTGCGTACGGACAGGCCCTCAACTACCACATGTACAACAAGACACAGGCCAGGGTTGGCGCCACTTACTTCCAGGGTGAGTCGAATCTCCTGCTCTTTCTCTTCTTCATATGCATGATGTCTTTAAAAACAAGTTTTTGGGTTCCAAAATTATTTTCTATCATCGTTTTAAAAATATTTTTTTAGAAGTGACGTATTAAACATAATGATTTGTTATTTTTGTATGTCTGTAAGGAATATACTCAAAACCTATCGGACTGATTTCAAAAATTATTTCATCTTTTGACTACTATATTTCCCTTACACAAAGACCGTATCATATTTAGGTAAAAGGTGGTTAAAAAAGTGCGTGCGTACGAAGTACACATATCAGAAGTGGAACTTCTTTGGCAATCTAATTTTTAAGTCTTGTTGATATTTTTGGCAAAGTTATCAAATTATAAAGTCTTGTTGATATCTTATATAATCTTACAATCAAAAACCTTTGGTTTTACCCTAACTTAAAACTTTAGATCTTCGAATTTAGAGGCCGGAAATTTTTTAAATGGGATGAAACCCCCCCCTCCTTTTTTTTTTTTTATTTTTTTTACTCTAAAATAAAATTTTATATTTGTGAGATGGGGGGAGGGAAAAAGGAAGATATGTTAGGAATTTAATTAATTTAATTGTCATTAAAATATTAAGTGTCGAAAATTAATTTTAAATTAAAACATATAAAATACTAATATTTCATAAATTCTCTTTACGAAATTCTCTCAATCTCACTCTCTCTCAATCGCACTCTCCCTTTTCTTCGACAAAAACGCTGCACATTTTCGTGACGGTCCGTAAAAATTTTACCCTCATGCGGCTAAAGAAGTTTCACTTCAAAAATAAAAAAGCCATGGCCGTCGCATCGATATTGGCACAAGAGCCTGATCACATGAGGTTGTACAGTTACGAAAGTTATTTAATTAATTTTTAATTTCTAGGCTACCACACTGTACTGAAGACAAGTTCGGACTACTATTCGGCATTACGAGCGGCGCGAACTATCTCTGCCAACCTCACCGAGACACTGAATAAGAACTTACAGGTATTCTTCTATTTCTGATCGGCTTCATCCTCTTTCTATTCAGGGACTACGGACTCTGCTGCTTAGTATTATTACCACCCGAGCCCGAAATAATTCCAGCTCGATGGCGTTTACAGTCTGCTTCTCTATGAATTTTCTATTATGAACTAGGAAGCTGTATCTTCCAGTGGAAGTGTCCCCTGGAATAAACGATCTTCAAATTTAAAAAAAAGAGCATTCCACCGTAGGCTCTTTTGCCGTTTAAAAAAATATGTTATCAAGAAATAAAATATAATAAAATAACGAACAAAAATAGTTATGTCTATTTTGAAGAATCATTAATTTTAGTTATTAAATTAAAAATATCTTGAAAATTGGTTGTGTTTTAAAGCAACAAAATGGAAATTCAATACAATATTTTACTGAGGTCGGGCGTGCACCAATGCACTTTTCTGTCAACGTGTGCAACTTATAAATGCAAAGTGAGGTATCGTCATTGATTAAGATCCCAAAAATCTACGACATACGTCAGACAGAACTTGTCTATGACATAAAAACTATCAAAGAAATGGATTTAATCTGAGGCTAAGACCCATGTAGGGATCCAGAATCACTGAATTTATTATTATTATTGTATACACATATGTATATATTATATTATATGTATTGCGTGTTATTTCCACGAGAATGTAAGTGCGTGCTCCTATTTCACCATGCCTGCTGATAGAGGACAAATCTTTGTTTCTAATTTATTTTATTATTATTAATTACTTAAGATGTCATGTGGAACATGGTGTAATGGTTGCAGCTCCTTACAAACGTTGTGTAAAACAAAAAACTTGGCGATTAAAAAAGTGGCCGAGAGTTTATTGCCAGTTCTTCTCTTCCGTTCTACGATTTGAAAACTGGCACTAAATGTAAAATTAGAAGCTAATTAAATACATTTCTGTTTTTGACGTTCATAAGTGTACATTGTGTTACCTAAATGAATAAATGTTTTTTTTTTCTACAATTAAAAAAAAAATGTTATAAATTTTTACTTGAACCATTTCAGGAAATGGGCAAGAACAAGACGGTGAACGTGTTCCCGTACTCCGTGTTTTACGTCTTCTACGAGCAATACCTGACGATGTGGCCGGACACGCTTAAGTCCATGGGGATCTCTGTTCTCTCCATCTTCATCGTCACCTTCGTGCTCATGGGCTTCGATCTCTTTTCTGCTCTGGTGAGTGCTACACTTAGGATACACAGCTACGGATTTAATTTATTTTAATATATATATATTCTTGTGTGCGTGTGTATGTGACTGAACTCCTCCTAACGACTGGACCGATTTTGAGAAATTTTTTGTTGTTCAGGGGATCTGATTTTTTATAGCAATTTGATCTGCTTTATATTTGATCAAGAACGTCGCTTTATTTTTTTATAAATTTGATCTGCTTTTATTTTAAGAATTTAAAATAATGAGTATATTTCAGGTCGTGGTGGTGACGATCACCATGATTGTGGTGAACCTGGGAGGACTCATGTACTGGTGGGGAATCAGTCTTAACGCTGTGTCGCTCGTCAACTTGGTGAGTTATTTACTTTATATTATACGATATGTTATGTTGTATATTATTCGTTAGGTTAGGTTGTATTTTATTTAACTTCGAGAACTATACCATTATTTATTCTTAGTCCCTCATTTTATAATTCTCTTCAAAATTAATTCTTCTGTTTTGGAAGACACACACATGTTTTTCAGGCTTGAAATAACTATCTCTATAAAATCTATCTTGTTTATTAAAAAAGTAAAGGGGAAGCAAATTTATAGATCAATGTCTAAAACAAAGATCTAATCTGACAATAAGTGATAAATATATAATTTACAATTTCCAGGTAATGGCGGTGGGCATAGCCGTGGAGTTCTGCTCCCACCTGGTGCACAGCTTCAGCGTGTCTCCGGGCGACAGTCGCGTGGCCAGGGCCTCCGCGGCCCTTACCAGGATGGGCAGCTCCGTCCTCTCGGGCATCACGCTCACCAAGTTCGGAGGCATCATCGTGTTGGGCACGGCCAAGAGTCAGATCTTCCAGGTGAGTTTGAACTGATATCGCTCCTTCATTCTTAAATCTTCTCTTTCCATATAATTTTGTATCTCCTCTTGGTTTTTGCTGGAGAGTCCACTAGGTCAAGGCTTTAATGTCCTGGTCTTCGGCATTTGCCCTGATAGACCTGCCATATCTGGGTTTTGCAGAAAATTTTTTATATTTTATTTAGACAGCTTATTAACATGATGAAATTACTTTAAATTAGCACAAAAACCAGGTCCAAGTTAATATTTTAAATAAATTGTTTAAATGATGTTAAAAAAATTTAATTGTTACATTTAAAAATTAAATTTAAATACAAATAGAAATAGAAAAGAGTAAGCTTTATTTATCACATAATATGTGTTAACATAAATTATTTTCTATTAAACCTCTTCCTTGTTTAGCAGTGAAAGTATGTAACATACTATATTCCACAGGTGTTCTACTTCCGGATGTACCTCGGAATCGTGTTATTCGGAGCTGCCCACGGCCTCATCTTCCTGCCCGTCATGCTTAGCTATATCGGTAAGTGACCGGAATACACTTTCACTATACACTTACTATTTACACTTGGGAATCTTGAGGAGATTGGTAACTGCGTAAACACTATCTTTTTTTCTTCTTTATTTAGTGGTAAATGTAATTTAAGGTTTGTTTAATTTATGATCGTGATATTCACATTATCTATGTCAATTTTATTTGTATTATATATGTCAGAGCAATGACGTCACTGTCAGCTGCCATTGTCATTATGTCAGAACTCATAAAATGACAAAGTCAAAGTTTAAAACTGTTTATTCAAATTAACTGGTAGTAGTGATGATAGTTATTATTTTTTAAAGTAGCTTATTATATCGAAATTATTTTGTCACTATCACTGATACTAGCAACACTCCCACACATAGTTATTTTCATACATCTACTAAGTAACTTAGAATATCACTTTAAAACTGACCCATAAATTTAACTCCGAAACGTAATCGCTTACCTACTTAGCTGATTTCTATGAACAAAAGGTAAATCTTTGTCTTTGGCGGCTGACTCCGGTCGCAATATCTGCATGGGATTTCTAGGAATTTGTTACAATTCATTTATTAAAAATAGTCGCTACACCCGAACTAGGCGTTACCTACAAAGGGAGCGTTCAAGTATGACGTAACGAATTTTTTGTCCTTTTCTAAAACGTTACGATGAGGGGCGGGGATTGAATTACGCGTTATTGTTAATATTATTTTTGACTTTCCAGTACTTTACACCACATAATGGTAACTTTTAGGTATAAAGTCACTGGGTGGTCACGAAACGTTTTACTATTGGGTACAGAAAAACGTTACGGCGCGTTACATGGGGGCGGGGGTGTCAATAATCTCCAAAAGTTGCGTGACGTTATACTTGAACGCTCCCAAAGTCGCTATAGCCACATGAATTTTGTATTTTGGATTTAGATTTAACGTCGTTGTAGCTAAATGATCGCTACAACCAAAGTCGTAATAAATGAAATCCACTCTACATTAATAAGAATTGCTAACAGTTACCTATCTCTTAAGATCCTTCACTATATCACCACCTAGCACTACTACATTCATTATTAATTATAATTTACTACTGTATTTTAGTAGCATTTTGGATTTAATTTTTGACAGTTATTCAAATGAAATATATTAAAGTAAACTGTTAATATGATGTCTACTGAAAGTAGGTTCACGAGAAAAGGATAAGACATTTCGTAATTGAGTTTTTAAAGGGAAAATAAAATTCGGAGATATGTTAAAAAGGACTCAAAGGATCCATATTTTAATTATTCTTATTATATTCTCATCGTAAAACGAAATCGTCGCGTTTTGTGAAATTGAGTTTGATTACCATCGAACAGCTCCTACCGCTTGACCGTATTCAACGAAGAGCGATTCGAATCGTCGACGACCAGTCACTTTTCGAGCGGCTCGATCCCTTGCCGTTGCGTAGAGATGTGGGCTCTGCATCTTCTACCGCATTTACCATGGAGAGTGTTCAGAGGAGTTGTTCGAATTAATACCAGCAGCTGAGTTTCATCGTCGTTTCACCATTATGTGGAACCAGCTGCCCACTGAAGTATTTCCAAACTAATTCGAAATAGGTTCTTTCAAAGAGCGTACCAAATGTAAAAAAGCCGGGAGAGCGCTTGCGAGCCTTTTGGCAGTGTAAGTGTCCATGGGCGGCGGTATCACTTAACATCAGGTCAGCTTTCTGCCCGTTTGCCTCCTGTTGCTTAAAAAAAAACTATTATTAGTACATATTAAAAAGCATTTAGTAAAATGCGTTAACGAAACGTTACGGCACGTATTCTGGAACGACTTAAATGTAGTTGTAATAGCTGTCAAAACATTATGAAGTTTTACATATTTGACAGCGCTCAAGACGGGATGTGAACTTGAGATACGAATTAGAATATGGACCTAACGTACAATCTGTCTGTACGTACAATCGAACTGGCATTTTTTTTTACGTATAGTAAAAATAATAATCCTCAAAAATCTAAATGGTTTTTCTTTATCTCGTGTAAAACGTTACTATTTTAAGTTCTTGTTACAAATACCTTTTCGTTATTTTTATTTGCACTGTATCCGCTTGTATATTGGACCTTGCTTTTTTTATAAACTTTTTCGCTATACTAACATTTTCGTTGCTTTCTTCATAAGTTTATCGTTAATTTTATATATTTACCGGAAGTTGAGTCAAAGTCAAAGTCAAATCGTTTATTTCAATTAGACCATCTAAAATGGCACTTTTGAACGTCAAAAAAAAATATAAAGATGATTCTAGTTGCCCCTTCCAAAAGGTAGTTTCGTGTGGAGAAGAATGGGCAAGAAACTCCACACTTACTCTTTTAAAATAGGTTTACAATATTTTGTTACATTTGTTAAATAATTATATGTGAAGACAATGTACTCTTAGAATAAACTTGTATACATGTTCCTCACATATTTACAAATATCGAAACCTTAGAATATTAACATTAAAGAGTAATAAAAATATTAAAAAAACACAACAAAACAGTGTGTGAGATACAAAAAAAAATAATTACATTTGTAGCATTATATAAATTAAAAAAAAAATAATAATAATAATAACAAAAATATGTTAAAGCAAAAAATCAGCAACCAATTTGATTTTGTCCAGGCTATAGAGCCAATCATAGGATTGTCCTATGGAGCAGGACCAGCATGTTTCCAAGAGTGGCATTGAGTGTTATTAAATTCAGTGAAGTGTCTTATATTTGGAGACCTGAACACATATTTCTGTCTGTTTCACTGTACCTAGAATGTTTGAAATAAAAAGATGATTTTATTACTAAAGGGTAGGTATAAATACTAATTGGCTGTATGCAATGGTGTATTTATTCGCTTATAATTTACGAAGATTCTTATTTTTATTGTAATTTGTTGTTTGTTGACGTATGGGTTGTATCAGTTGCATTTACTGCTTTTTGTTGTACAATATTTGCTTAAAACGAATTACAATAATAACACACAATTAAATTAAAAACTTCATTTATTGCGTTCAAGTATAACGTAATGCATTTTTTGTGATTTTAACTTAAGTTAAACGTTACGTGACCACCAAGTGGCCATTTTTTTTCTAAAAATCACAATTATCTGGCGGAAAGTAGCTAAAATAGTTTTGTTATTGTTTTAATCGCGTTAATATTATAAAACGCGTAGTTCTAACCCCCTCCCGTCCCTGTAACGCATCGTAACGTTTTATATGCCTTTCCAAATTCATTACGTAACACTTTAATGCCTCGTTAGGCAGTGTTCAAGAATTATGTAACGAATTTGGTATTGTATAACGTTACGCTGCGTTACAGGGACGGGAGGGGGTTAGAACTACGCGTTATTGTTAATATTATTTCGACTTTCCAGTACTTTATAGCACATAAGGGTAACTTGTAGGTATAAAGAGTCATTGGGTGTTCACAGAAACACGTTACAGCGCGTTAATGGAAGGGGGGAGGGAATCTCCAAAAATTGTGTGACGTAATAATTGAACGCTCCCTTAGTTGTAATAGGGCAAAATCGTTTAGAGAAATAACAACTCACTTCTAACCAAATGATTTGTTTACAATTGTTCGTAGAAGGTAAGTCAGGCGAGTTGTGTTTTGCAGGTTCGCCCGTGAACAGACAGAAGATAGCCAATCAGATGCTGCGAGGCAAGGAGCTGGGCGTGGCCGAGACCTCGCTCACTCGAGTAAGCCCTTACAGGCAATATCACTTTGACGCGCTTCCCGCTTAACGAGACTGAACGATTCCTTGTATTCGCCAACGGCTTAGGGGCATTGGGCAAACTGGGCAAAAAATACATTTCAACTCAATTGTAAAAAAAACTTTTATTGCACGATGATTTATTCAACTGAAGTTTATTAAATTGCTTCAAACCCATTGCCCCAATTTATAAAATAGTTAATTGCTATAAATGTGTGTCTAGAAAAATAAAATAAGTCACAAAGTGATCCAGCTTTATGGCTGAATTAATTTTTTTTGATGTAATTAAAAAGCCTTACTACGAAAGTAGATAATTTTAGATTTTTCCTTTATTTTTATATTGAATATTTTGGACGTGTAGATTTTCTAGAAGTTTTTGGCGTTTTCCAAATTTTGAAAATTTATAAAAAAAGCCCAGTTCTATTTATGGATTTTTGTTATTTAATTTTAGATCTCTATTTTGTATTTATTGTTCTAAGTTGTAAATATTCATGCATGTTCATCTCATGTAATTCACAATTAATAAAAATGCTTTCTAACAATCATGATAGTTTGGCCCTCGTCTTTAAATTTCCAACAAAAACACAGGTTATACTATACATATATCAGAAAAATAACCTATGTTCGTAATAAATTATTACACCCAGTTTCCAAATAAATTTCCAAATAGCAGAATATTTTTCGCCATTTCCTAACATTTAACTAAAAGAACTGGGCTGTACACTGCTCATTTAATATGCATCGTTCAATCTCGTTACTAACTCGGAGGTCGGAAAACTAATAGAAATATGCAAACATCATTTACTTAGTATATTTCCAGTCGACTTTACCGACCTCTGGACTAACTTTGTGGGTAAAATTTGGAATTTGACTGTACCTGTCAAGTTCGAAATGGTGAAACCATGATGTATCGGTTAATCGAAGGGTTTTTCAAAGCATTTATGTGAACTCAATTCAAAGTTAATTGAGACTTAACCGCTGGTTGGTTTATGGTTATGCATGTTTAGAAGACAAACGTCATTCCTAGTTATTCGAATTTAATTTAATTTATTTGTTACGTCACTGGCTCGCCTCTGCACTGTACTTACGCGTACTCGATGTACTTAGGGCGGCTGAAGTGTGAAGAAAGCTTGCAACATTGAGCACAAGGCTTTAATTCAGCGATACGGTCGCCGATTATTTTTGTATAATTAAATAATATAATCTATTTTTTATTCGTTTGCTTCATGTGAAAATGAGAAATGTGTAAGTCGTTGTGTATCGATGTTTGTTAATCTGCGGAGAGATTGACTCTGACATTCCTAGATTTAGTGAGGGTAGTTCGTGATACCAAATACTAGAGTCAATATCTTTTATGATTTAGTAGCTCCAGCGATGTAGGATTTAGCGAAAGGCCTGGATAACTTCAATGCGATATATCGAATATTATTTATTTCTCACTTTTGGAGGGTAGTCCAGGCCTTTTTGTATAAATGCTGACGTCACTGGTTGTATTAGTTACGCTGTTAGGTTGCACATTGTATTTTTCAACTAACATGGGTAATTGGCAACTAACCCATGGTGCTGGGTCAAAATCAATTGACAATACAGATGACATATTCTTGCAGGTACGTCTATGACCTGGGAGAAAGAACAAATTATTTAAATTTTTTTGGGGAGTATTTTCTTTTGTAATTCTAGGTATTATTCTTGTGATGTATTCTATGAGATTACCTACGTTCCTATGATTTCGAATAGTACTGCAAGATTTCTCGTTTCTGAATTGCATAGTTTATACATTTGCGTATTTCGTAAATCTTAGTAACGTATACGTGCAATGAGTATCATTAGTGGAATTATTTATTGGAATTCAGAAACATAAACTTCAATTCCTCAGAATCTCTACTTAAAATAGTACTTAATTAGAGGGAACACATCCAAAGGTTTTGGTTAAATGTAACTGACATAATTGTAAAGAGTGAAATAAATTTCGTTTATTATTATTTTTGTTTTATTTTTTGTTGAGCACCTGCATGTTTTAGCTTACGCATGGTCCGTTAATAGATTAAGCGAGGTCCAATATTAAATGATTTTGTTTATTAGGATGGGGATCTGCTCAGTGCAAGTGAAATCAGCGTAAGGATACATTTATTATGCACCTCATATACATAATACACACAAGATTCAGAGTTGAGATGCGCAAAATACTTCATAGTATGCGTATGCCAAAATCCAGTATGTTTTCAACATACAGAAGTTAAATCTCGACTCTAAATCTTATCCTTAAATACATAATGTTGTCGTATCACTTACGACGTACGTACATCAAGGGAAAGTACCTTAAATATCGTAGATAGAATATTTTGCTAAAAGACTTTATTTTATTTTGAAAAGTAAGTATTACTGCATTCAATGATTTTCTAAAAACTTACATGTATCGTCTGGGAACCGACCGACTCAAACGTGAAAAAAAACCACCCCTTGTTTTATTGATGCTAATCAAGGAATGACATAAAATAATAATTATTTTAAAGTAACATAGCATTTTTAAAGAAAGGAATAACGTAAAATGTTTGCGTCAAATTTCAATAATCGTGTTCGGTCGTAGTCCCCAAATATTTGAGGTACTTTCCCTTCATGTCCATAGTCTTGGGACGCCCTGTATATAAATAGACTATGTGATATAGGGCAAAGAAGCTTTTATAATATAGTGATAACAGCCGTCCATGAACACGGGGTTTACACCTGTGTTGCAGGCCCTTATGGATGCTATACGCTCTTTCTTAAAGGCCCTCTTGGGTCCTATTATACTGGTACCACTTAAAATACACATCGAGTTTTAATTTTTCTCATGTTTTTTAAAGTCGAAAATTAGACTTAAAAATTATGTTTTTTAAGCGTTGGGTAGATAAGTGTAGAAAGTTATGACCGGTAAGTCTAATATTACGGTTAGTATATATAGCTCGGAGGTCTTGGGTTCGATTCTCGAGAAAAAAATTTGTTTCTGGTTTGTAAATTTTCAATGGTGAGGTAAGTATGCAACATACACCAGTCTTAATGCAGGGAAATTAAAAAGACCCCTTCAAGTAAAGAGCCTACCAATTTCTAAAAGGCCGGCAAAGCACTGGCGAGCTCTCTGGCATTGAGTGTAGGCGGCGGTATCACTGAACGTAAGGTTGCCCGTTTGAAACCATGTTCTATGGAAAAAAAACGTATTAGCTTTCAGACCCCTTACACCTTTAATATACACGGCTAAGACGGGGCCATAGATTTTGATACGCTTTAATGTTAGAAAGTATTTTTAAGAGATTTATAATATTATACATGTACTATCGAAACAATTGGATGTAGGTGGGTACTTTGAGGGCTCTTTGTATGTTTAATAGGACATTTACTTGTCATTATTTCACATTGTTTTATGTTTTATAAATGTAAATAGATCGCTGCTTTCACATTGTTACGATAGTTACAGAACTATGTACTATCGCCCAAATTGACGCGCTTTTGGACTTGAATTTCATAGCAAGTTTGAAATTTTAAATTGTAGGTATTAGTTTGATTGGCTAAAGGTGATACCAGAGCTTTGGGCGATAGTATATGACATATCACAGCATCTCGCTAGCATTGACCCTTTTCTAGGCATAACCCGTCGCCGGGGACACTGGCGGGTTGGGCCGGGGGGGGATACCTACGGCAGTCTAGACTCCACGCCAGCTGGGCCCCACGCAACTGCGAGTGGCGATTCGCTTACACAAGAAATGTGAGCGGATAAACAAGATATAAACTGTACTTAGTTGTACAGATAACACTGAGATGTCAATTGTCAGTGTCAAAAAATATTGCGCTCGATTACTATAAGACTTAAACGATTAATACAAAAATCTGACGCTGATTTACGGGATTTTTGGTCGATACTAATAAAATTCATAAAGTTTCGATGAACTTCAAGAATTTTATTAAAGAAACTTAATTGGTACTTGTCTCAGTGTGTATAAAGATTCGTTAGTGAATTATATGGATTGTCTATCAAAGAACTATATAAAATATATTACAACTGTAAGTTGTCGATATTATTAAATATATAATAGATGTAAAAATGTTTTCTTAAGAAAACTTGCTAAGCGAAATATCAATTATCAAAGGTAGTGTCGAAAATACAATATGATTTTTCGACCACTTATAATAAATATGAAAATTATAATCGACTATTATACGCAAATTGTGTTAACTTTGATATTATAGACTTTTATTAGGCCTAGAAACTAAATTAATTATTAAAATATGAAACTTATTGAAATCTCGTGAATATTTAAATGAAATTATATGTATTTAGGTATTCGAATCAACCAGTCAATATATTGTATAAAATCTTTAAATACGAGATGAAACTAGAAGAATTCTTATATAGACTGTATGGCCAAAAATTTCTCTAAAATTTATGCGTTTATTTTAAATTTTACTGAACATTTTTTGCAATTTCACAATTAAGATTTTAACTAAAGGGGTTTTTTCATGTATTATTAGTTAACAAACTATTTTTTAAGTTCGCGTGCGCTTCTACGGGTTAATTATTGATAAATCCCATCAATCAAATTGATATTCAAATACGCTAAATCCAAAGCAGTTAAGGGCATTCTGATGAACTTAGACCAAACTAAGGGTATTAAAACGAGGATTTGATGTACGCGAGTCGTACTTAACTAAGTGTTGATTATGATTACCCATTGTACCATCGTCCTTTTAACTTGCGCTTAAATTAGGTGATATTTCAATTGTTATAATTATTGTGTATATTAGAAAATTTATATAATACGTGTTGCTGTATATAATGTACTTAGCAAGTTTTTTAAATATAGCTATATGTAAATGGCAAAGTTTTTGTGATCTTTCATATTCCATGTATAGAGTTTTTAATAAATTATAAAATCTTGATTTGTATGTTATTTCTACTTTTCATGAATTAATCTTGGCTTAGATTAAGAGGCTGATCAGAGGGACACCTAATCCCGTTGGATTTTCCGTTCATTTTTATTCACAAGGTATGTGCGACTCTCATCTCTCTCTCTCATGAACTTTCTATAATGGCGCGTCTAAACGGGCCATGTTTTGCTGCAATTGATGGCTGCACTGTTGGCCACTAATTGCCCGGCCATTACAAAAATATTTTAATGCAGCTGATGGCCGAACAATCTATGGCTGGGCAATGAGTTGCAATAGTATGGCCCATGATGCAGACTCCTAATCGGGCTACACAAACCGGCAACAATGGCTGACGAAATCACACTTGTCGCAGCAGCTTATATTGTTTTAAAAAAGAAACAGAAAAAGAAGAGATTGTGGATTCGACCTTACTTAAATAAGGCGTGAAACTGTAGACAATTTGAGTCTAGAAATAAGTCTTGATAATAAATTATTCAAGAACTAGAATGTCAAAAGTAGTCATTTTTACGTAATAACGTCAAATACAGCTGATCGCAAAACACAGAATAAAGCAACAGGCACACTTCACTCAAAGCAAACGTCACGTCGCGTAGAAAAGGATACACTATGCCATAACAAAGAGAGTGACTGAAACAACAAGAGAACTGGCTGTGCAATATTGCAGTTGAATTCGATAGCCTAGCCATCGTCCGGCCACCCATCGGGGCAACATCGGCCATATGTGGCTATACAAAACATGTTTGGCTATATGGCCGGGACATTACTGCAATATTGCATAGTGTGGCTGCTATTGTTTGCAATGTTGCCGGCCACAGTGTTGCAGCAAAACATGGCCCGTTTAGACGCGCCATAACACACTCGTAACGTGAAGAAAAACATTCTGAGGATCCGGCACGTCCAAAAAGTCGACTACGCGAGTCGGGTATAGAATGCTGAAAAACTTGCAAATGTTAACGAAACTGATTCAGAAATCTACGGCCTATATCTAAGCTAAGTAGAGCGCCATTGTTTTATTGAACAAAGTATACAAAATCAGAAATAGTAAATAAAAATCAAGTAATGATTAGGTTATGAATGTTTTTTCAATACATCAAAGCTCTAAGCTGTAATTTTATTTGTAATCTCTCTGTTGAGAGACTGCTGTTAGGCCGTAAATTGAAGCGTTTTGTTAGAAAAAATCAATAACTAAGTTTGCCGATTAATGGTGTTTGAATAACCGCTCCACTTTAATCTCCAATACAAATCTCAATATACCGCCGTGGCAGAGACGAAACAAGACCAAAAACCAAGTAAGTATACACTTCAAGGAAAAAACGGCTTGTAGTTGTATTATTATGAAACAAAATGAAAACTTAAACATTTATTTCAAAACAAATATTTACATTAACATTCATGACTAGAATGGCAGCCTTTAGCACAAAATTGTATCCGATTATTTTTACGTAGACAATAATAAACACTCTGAATTAACTATAGATAGATGTTCGGATAGTTCGGCTGTTTCAGCGCAGAGGAATCAGTCACACACGAAGTCCTGGAATGCGTGGCTGTGGCAAACCAACGTACAGAAATCCTCGGATCAGTGAGGTCGCTTCTTGAAGCCTGCGAAGTGCCCAGGAGACTTCTGTGCTTGTGGAAGGAGCTAGGTTGGCTTAATTAGCCAAAACTTTACGCACACCGGACCTAGTGATAGTCTAAGTGCGGAATCTGAATCCACCAACCTTTTACCTTTTTTCTGTTCAGATATCGTAGACTAGCGATTACAAATAACACTTATAATAAAAATACAAAATATTCAAGTTACTTTAGCACTAGAATGCTTATAAATTTGCTTGAAGTATGGACTAGGAACTTAGTTTTTAAAAAATAATCCTGATGTTTATTGAAATATTGACATGTTGCAATAATGGCTATGCCAAGAATCAACTTGCCATATACGGCACACTTATATTATTATCATGATTATTTGAATGCTTAGACATTTTTATTTAAACAGTAACATTCCATAAAAACTTTAAGGACGGAAAATTCAAGAAAACAAACAAAACTAAAACTAGCGTAATATATCTAAGATGTATCTTCAAACATATTTCACACTTTATTTTTAACATGAACAATGCAATAATAGAATTTGCAATAGATCAGAAATTCGGAACGCATCTATTTTAAGCCCCGCATCTCTGTGATATTTTTAAGTATTATGATGTAATTTTATTTATGGTTTCGATTTTTTTCGTTGGACAACATTTCATATGTGCATTGTACAGTGAGTATATATATAGTTGACGACTCATTGGTCTAGTGGTTAGTACCCCTGACTGCGAATCCATGGGTCCCGGGTTCGATCCCCGGCTGAGACGAACATCGATGTGATGAGCATTTGGTGTTGTGCTTAGGTCTTGGGTGTTTAAATATGTATTTATACGTTTATCTATCTATAATATGTATGTATATCCGTTGCCTAGTACCCATAACACAAGCTTCACCAGCTTAGCATGGGGCTAGGTCAATTGGTGTGAATTGTCTTTAAAAAAAAAAAAAAAAGTATTAGAACGTATGGAGTCCAGACAGCGATATGTATGAACAACGTATGTCGAAATCCTGTCGAAGTCAGACTACTCAAGTCCCGTTTTTCAATCTTACCACCTCGCTTAAAAGCTAGCGAAAAAGCATTCCATTCGGAGGCCTAGTGAATAATCTCATTAGACTGCTTTTTTATTTATTAATGAAAGGAGTTCACGCGCACACAACAAGAGACACATTAGAACTCCGCTGATTCAATTTGGCTTTTAAACTTGCTATTACCACACTATTTAATGAGCATGTATACGCGTATATGTATGGGTATAAGACGATCCTATATTTATCTTGATGACTATAGCTTTTACACAGTATATAAAATAATCATTTAGTATAATCCAACGAAAATATTTAAATAAAAAGTCAGTCACTCAAATAGATCTTAACTTAAATCTTAATGATTATTAAAGTTCTAATGGGCCGAAAAGTAGGCTGGCAGGGCAGTTCTCGTTCTGGTCAGCCAAGAATTGTGCGAAGAGTTCTTGATATCTCGATAAGGAAATGCCACCTTTTCTTCTATCGTCATCCTGAAAAAGAAACGTTCTCGTTAAAAAATGGTAGGTCCTTCTAGTGGTACTGTTAGGTTCAGAAATCGAAAAGTTCATCTGTATTCATGAATTATGTAGAAGTTAAAAATAAGTTAGTGGCGCTACAACCTTTTTCGGTCTGGACCTCAGATTTCTGTTTCATGATCATTTATCAATGCAATTTGCAAGTAGGTGATCAGTCTGTGCCTGACACACGTCGATTTTTGGGTAAACGCAAGCCTTCACGATATAAATGCGAACATAGAAAGCCCATTGGTGCACAGCCGGGGATCGAACCTACGACCTCAGGAATGAGAGTCGCACGCTGAAGCCACAACACTCTAATGTAGATAGGTCAGTGATAAACGATTAAAAAATCCTAAACCTGGTTAACACAAACGTTTAATATAAAACGTAACTTCCCACGTAGTACAGTGAAATTTGGAGCCCCGCCAATCTGGATTAGATATTTTTATTCATTGATTCGTATTTATTAGACAATATAATGCAACATCGTAAATAGTTTTGTGTGAGAATTCAACTAAACAAAAAAACGTTAAAAATGTTATAAGATAATTTGTAAAGCAATATTTTCTTATGGCAATTTACTATTCAATAATTAGCTAATCAATTTTGAGGACCCTCAAAATATTTGGGAGAAATATTACATATTATAATAAACAGAACACAGTTAGCAGTCGGTCTTGCACTCTTGGTACTAAAATCGTGGACATCATTAAAGGGTTTAGTTGAGGAATATTGTGAGCTTCTGTCTTATTACATATACTGCCAACCAGGGCCGGATTTAGGGGAGGGCACCCGCAAAAAACGGACACAATAGAGACTTCGGAAAAAAAATGCTTTTAATGCTAGTAAACACTAGTATTCAACTTTTCTTTTGATATTTTTTGTTCGCTGTTTTACCTTTACCTCTGTACAAACATGATTATATTGTTCTTAAATATTAACAGAAATCATTGACATGTGTATATCTATGTTTGTAAAAATATTTGTTAAATGCTCAACGAATCTACTTGGTTTCACAATAAATTATTGATTGAAAAACTACTGAAAACATTGTTCATTTAATTTGGAGAATAATTTGGGGCCAGGCGGCCTCCACTCCATTGCCCCGAGGCCTCCAGACGTCTAAATTCAGCCCTGCTGCTAACATAGCAAGTCATACTTAAGATAAGCCGCCGTGAATTAGTCTGTCAAGTGACATTATTTAGACAGAAAATTACTTTGTTCATAAGTTTAAAAAACTTTGAGCCACAAACATAAACAAGAACACGTCAAAAATTGACATAATACACAGTGGCGTAACTATACCATCTGGGGCCCGTGGCAAATCTTCTTTTCTTTAATAAACTTCGAGATTTTCAGCGTACTCAACTCACTAATGGCAGAGAAAGGCAGAAAAGCCGCCTCTCTTAGGTGAGAGGGAATAGTCTGTAGTCCCCACTCTAGCCCAATGCGTATTGGAGACTACACATTCATCCATAGAACATAAAATCTCTTGGACATTTGGCAAACAATCCCTCTTGGGTCGGGGGCCTGTGACATTTTGCCAGCCCTGCCACCCAATTGTTACACCACTGATAATACAGTAAAATCAAATGAGTATAACACTACCAACAATACTAAACTATTATAATAAAAATAGCTTTTGTAATCAAATGAACTGATACTCATTAATATCGCCAGTGGCGTAACTATTCGGAGAGATTTGCCAAAACGCACGTAATATTTCCTAGAAACGCGTAATTTGACGTAAACATACATATCTCTACGTACGATGTTGTCATTTAAGTGATGGTAAAACATTTACGATACCATTTTTATTATCGTAAAACAACAATTTGTTTCTTAAGATAAATTGAATTAATTTTTGGAGAGCACTCGATTATTTAGTTATAAAACGATTATCACTGATGAAAGTAAATGTTTTTCTCATAACAAATTATGATTAAATCCTTGTTACCTTTCATCACATCAGAATATAATGAGAGATGATATTCAAGACAGCTAAGTATAGAAAAAATTATGCCACTTTGTATAAATTTAGTTTTATTTAGAAAAAGTTTTACAGAACAAACGGGCAGGACTCATCGAATATTAAGTCATACCGCTGTTAATCAACACTCACAATGAAAGACAGAAAGCTCGCGAATTTATTGTAGGCTTTTTATAAAACTAAGTCGAAATTTTAATAAAACCAGCCGGGCAGCTGGTTCCACATAGTGGTGGCGCGCGTCAAAAACTGCCTTAAAAACGCTCAGTTGCGGAACGACGGACGTCGAGGTATCACATCAAGAAGAAACAACTTACGTTTAACAATGAGTTGTAGGCATCATCAATCACTTTAATGTCTTCCACGACCATACGTTGAATGCAGTCATAACGGAACTCCTCAATCCCCATCAGACCATCAGCATTGATGTCTATCATCCTAAAGTTAGTTTCGATAAACGCCTTCATTGCTTGGGGAAAATCTTCGTATTTCTTTCCGACGCAGGTGTTTTTCACAGCTTGCTTAAATTCTTCTACCGAAACTGTGCCGTCCTGTAATTCGTGACTATTAAAAAGATAGAATGTCGGGAGATCAAGCTAAGCGTGCGATATATAGCGTGCAGCATGCAGCACATACAGTGTTAAATCCAGCGTTAGGAATAGACTAATAAAGAAAGTAACTGGTAACAAAACAGGTAGAAGGATTTTATTTAAGGCCTAAGGAGGAGAGAAAGAGTCAGATAGTGATTAAGGCCACTTTACTTAACTTGAGAGATAAGACTTAGCAGGAGAGGTTAAATAGGTATAAATGCATTTTGGACTTGCTGGTTTTCCCAATCCAGTTTTTCCGATTTATATTCACATGTTCATTATTTAAAACTTATTGAACTCAACCATGCTGTTGGTATAAAGGTTTTCAATTATACCCAGAGATATAATTAGATATTCATGACCATTTAATTAACATTTGTAAGTGTAACGTGTGATTTATTCCGTCCGGGTGTCCGAGATGCGTATTTCTAAATCATTCTAATCCTATTTGCAGTAATCAAATTTTAACTGTAATGTTCTCTCAGTTGACAAAGCAACTTATAATAATAGCCTTTATTAATACTTAAAAATTTGAAGTAGTATAAAAACTAATAACTATTCGGCAAGCCGGTTAATTTCTATTTTGCAGCTTGTCCTTGGACCTAGGCCTCCTCTAAGGGCTTCCACTCTTCTCTGTTTCTAGCTTTACGTAGCCACATAGGGCCAGCTGCTCTACTTATATCATCTTCTCATCTTTTTATTTGTCTTCCTCGTTCTCTTTTCGTCATAGCGAGGAAGCCATTCCGTTCGTCCGTCAAAGAAACTTAATAATTTAAAATTTAATTGAATTTATTGCACCAGTTCATGTTCTATTGTTACGCCTACAGCCTAATTTTTAATAAGATTTATTGGTTCAGAGATTTGAAAGTTCGATAAAGCGATTACAATTAAAGCTACCAGCCTACAGTGCTCTAAAAGCGACGGACGGAAGCTCTGCTAAGCCTGGCTAATGTAAGTGTGATAACCGACATAGTCTGGCACCTTATCGAAGTCAGCGAGCCTAGAGATCTCCTCCCAGAGGTTGATCATGATGTTCTGGTATTTCTGAAGCCGGGCCGCACTGCAGTCACCTTTGCCTTCGAGGACACACGTCCGCAAAGCGAGACATTGGAAGTCGTGTGAGTCAAGGTAGCCGTTGTTGTCGATATCTGGAAAAAATCATACATACATAAATTAAGAGGCAAAAAAGTATATGTCATCTGTCAAATGGCCATAGGATTTTGAAGGACGGAAGATTTAGTCCGCTTGTCACCGAATTTTCTTGATGAACGCGACGCGTTATCTTAAAAATACAAAGCGTTTACAATACAATGTTCTCAATCGATTTGTATTATTACGAAGTGATATTTTAAATGTAACCATGAAATTTAAACACAATCGTATTCGTGGCTAAAATAGATAACAAATATTTTTTTATTTTATTTATTTACAAAAGAATCATCATAATATCCACTCTCATAATAAATATCATAGGCACTCTGTCACAGAAACCTGAGGGCCAAGACTATAAGTCCTTGGTCATTTCTTTAGATCTTTCACCGTAGTTCATACTTAGTGTTGATTGCTCATATTCATAATCAAGCACTCTGAACTTTTTATTGTATGTATTTAATTTAAAGGCACGGCTTTAGGGAAGGGTTCGACGTTCATTACAAAGTCATCACTGCTAACTTAACTGTCTGAGTATAACATATATAGATTATATATAAAATTTATTCCTGTAACTAAAAATAACAATCAAATATACAGTATTGACATTTCTTATAATAGTAATAATAAAAATATTTAAAAAGTTTGGTCCCTGTGGCAGTGTACCCTTAACGCTGGCAGCATTTCCTCGCTGTATTGCTATACTTAATCGTTGAGCGAGAAAAGCACCAGCTCTGGGTCACTGGTATAATCTACCAGGCGCCAACTTAAATCTTTAATTACCGCCTGTCACTTGAACCCCACGGCCTAAGAGTCTCCACTCCAAAGGGAACAAAATTGAAGTTGGAGGAAAGACTTATATTATAGCCGTTTATTTTTTTCCGCCTGTTCTGCGGCCGCCCCAGTTTTTTTGCTTGTCCGAGGGAGGTAAGACGAGGCTAACGTGATAATTTTATATACAGATATACATTACATCACAAAGGTCAGTGAATCAAGCTTATAAAAACAATTCTAAAAATTCTCTTGTGGGTGTAATCTCTATTTAAATTCTTGATTAAATACTCTACACATTTCTGTACCACACATAACAATTAACTGTTAATTATTTGGCAACTGAAACATATAAAATAATTGAATCTGTATTTTTGCAATGGTAATTAGCAATCTTCCTTATTTCTTAGCCAAATTATTTTAGTACAGCTGTCGAAAGAGTTAAATAATTGGTCTTTGTTTTCATCTCAATGTGATGAAGTTAGTTTAACGGGTAATAAAGTATTATTATTTCTTAGAAGAGTCGTAAAAATGTATCAAGAATGAAAAGAATATGCCCACGAACATAGGCTCCACCATCACGTGAATGTCGAGGCTATTTAACTCCTTGACACCAAGGGTTTACTGAGAAGACTGGAACGGACCAAACCATTTGAACTAGTGAATTAGTGTTAGCGTAAGGCTGCTGCCTCGAATTTTGCGGGCAGCGGGGCGGCAGCGGCGGCGGCGCGGGAGCGGCAGGATCTTATGCGTAAAATCAAATGGACCGGTTCTCGAAAACAGCGGCGTGGCAGCGGTGCGAGGGCGGGTAACGAGAGGTGCAATCGCCCGATCCCGCGTCGCAGCCGCCGCCGCCCCGCTGCCCGCAAAATTCGAGGCAGAAGCCTTAGTCTTAAGTGCTAAACAGTGGTAAGAAAAAACAGAAGAACAGTGTCTTTTTTTATTTTATTTATTAGATACTGTAAGTAGTGTTATTGGACATTTTCTTATGTTAAATATCAGTAAATTAGATTAGACTTAAAATACTTATTAGTTTTACGTTAGCCTAGATCGTAATTTTCCACGATGTCTTAGTAAAGACAGACAGAAAAAAAACAATTGATATCTTTTAATTTCAAAGAAATAAAAGACGTAACATATACAAAAGGCTAAAATGGAAATGGGCCGGTCACATTGGCCGAATTTATGATGGCAGATGGGTCAAAAAGACCCTTACTTGGAAGGGCCCAGTGGGAAGAAGAATGAGAGGACGCCCACAAAAAATTGGGAAGATGAAATAAAAGGGATAGCGGGAAAACAATTGGAAAATTGTAGCAATAAATTGGGACAAATGGAAGAATCTGGAGGAGGCCTTCTCTCCTTCGGAGGTCGAGTACTAGTGTAAAAACTTAAAAGACATGGACTTACTGTAGTTATAGTGTACTCGAATAAAGGCTATTTTTATTTTATTTATTTAATTTCAAAGCATGATAAAATATGTTTTGTAGTTGTTCTTTATAATTATAGAATAAAACTGTACATACAATATTTTTGTTGTATTGTAGCAAGCATTGTAAACGAATAAAAGCGCAACAATTCAAGTGATTTTCACCAGTCCTAGTCAGCGAGAGAGATTTTCACGTTATGGCGTTCATATACATCAGTCTTATAAAATAAAATTTGGAGTAGGTTTGTTTTCGTGTTTTTATTAATATTACTCAACAATCATGATATCATATGATTCCCGAGAGAACTAACTAAATGGTATCGATAACATATCACTTTTTTCTCGAATGACCAGGAATCTCTACTGTCGTGTACCACGGTCTTCTTAATTCTAAATTATCTTATTTGTTATAAACAGTTTTGTTACATTCCTGAACAATATCGCATAGGTATGCATTGTTTCTATTTTATATAAAATTATAACTATGTAATGAAATGTTAAATTTCTGTCGCAATGATAAATGTACCAATTCATTTGGCGAAGCCGTAGACAATAAAATGTATGCCAAGATCTCACCTTTCGTAACATTCGGTTTGATGGGTTAGTCTTGTCACCTAGTTTAATATGACGCGATTTACGCATGAATTTGAAATTCTGATTCTTATGAAATTTTTTATGCATATTCAGTAAGTCTGAGAATCGGACAACATCTATTTTTCATCCCCCTAAATGTCAACGTTGGTCCCACCCCTAAATTTTAATTTTAATTTTTTTATGGTACAGCATACAAAAATACATACAACCCCTAATTTTCACCTCTCTACGATCAACCTCTATTTTTTGTTATAGTAGATAGTTATTTTTATTGAACTAAAATAATATACATGGCATAACGACGTTTGCCGGGTCAGCTAGTAATTATAAAATAGTATATTTTGTTGATGTCTTTATTGCCATAGAAAGTGTTTGATCTAAATAACCCCCGATAAATTTTCGGCATTATTTATCCACATATCCACTTCAACATATAGGTTAGGCTCAGGTAAAACATGTCAATTCCCTTACGATATTTCCGTAAGTGTTAACTGTCACACTGACAGCGAAACGCATTGACATCCAGGCTTAAACTCGAGGGTTGATAATAGCACGTTTAACTAAAATAAAAATCTATTCTTGTCTAAGAAACTTCTATTATCTATAAGAATTTGTATATCGAACATTATATAGAGTATTTTCACTATGGTAACGTTGCCCAATAAAATTATCTACTTTGAAATTGATCGTAAAAATTTATTTACGTTCGAAGTGTGCTAATTTAGTGCCAATATACCATTCAATGCCAATGTGAGGTTCATGTCAGATCAACTGAAAATACTTCTCACGCCCACGCAATTAATTAGGGTGTGACAGATAGATCAAGGCTGATTTTAGTTCAGATGTTTTGGATTATTTTTAAGAAAAGCACATTTAATAAAACACTATTTTGACCGGATTGAAGTTATGTATTATTATAAATTTACAACTATTTAACATAATTTTAAATTTATCCGACGTTTCGCGTGCTTTACAGCGTGCGTGGTCACGGTAAAGCACGTGACCACGTTTTAAAATTATGTTAAATAGTTGTAAATTTATAATAATACATAACTTCAATCCGGTCAAAATAGTGTTTTATTAAATGAATAAAAGTTATGTTAATCAAAGACAATACTATGAAAAGCACATTTACAAGACAACTCAAATCAACATCGTAATTAAAAAATCGTAGAATCGTAAACCTCTCTTGGCTTTTTAAGTTGGGTAGAAAGCGTTTGGTAGCTTTAAGTTTCCGCTACGCACGTAGAACGTCTACGACATCTACAGGAAATTAGTCGTATTTTTTTCAAAATGTTTAGTAGATACCTATATAATAAGGACTTAGTATCACGCTTACATATATAAAATACTAGTACAAATAGGCTTATAAATGTATATTTCCTTTAGTAATATATAAAACTCTGGTTATAGACCATCTTCGTTGTAAAACTTTATTCTAGAATGGACCAAATTTGAGAACCGCGTTCTCAATTTCGGGCAAGAACACCTGTTTACGTTCAACGATAGGCGAGACTTAGCGCTAAGTACGATCTGCGTATGACAAAACCGTATTAGATTTTGACATTTGCAAGTTCGAATTCGTGCTTTCTCGTTCTTTACACCCGAATGGCGAAAATGAAAGCATTAAATGTAATACATGTTCTTTTTGTTTATTGTCATGAAATCAACGGTACTCGCCTCTTTAGGCAAGTAGCTTTGTGGGTCTTCGTGATAATTTTCTTCGAAAGAAAGAGTTAACTGCGCTAGAAACATAACCATTGGTCCAAAGCCGGCCATTCTATTGTTTTTATTATTAAATTTTTGAGTATAAATGCTCTTATTACCCACAAAAAAAGTTTACTTGAAGATTATATTTCGATTATGAAGTATGCATGGGACAAGATCAATTAGTAATCTGTCAAAGTTGGATGCTTGCAATAGATTAATTAAAATAGCTGTCAAACGAATTGCTGATACGTTAACAAGAATGTTGTTGACAATAATATTTTATCACAATATTTATTTTAAATAAGTATTATATATATAAGTATAAGTAGTTATACTAAATGTATGGTAATCAACTAAGTAAAAAGTGTTTATTGTATAGACTTTAATACTTTTAGTCTGTGAATGCGTTGTGAATGTATAAAATTAGCTCGTTTTGAACGTTTCATTTTACATGATTTAAAAAAAAAATGTATTAAAAATATTTATTTGTAAAAGATTGTATTGGTAATTCAAATTTTAATGTCTTTTATCTGTAAAACTTATATATTAATAAAAAAAATATCTAGTAAAAACGTTAGTGAGTGAATTTAATTAATAAATTTTTCTTAAACAAGTCTATAAAATACTCCCCTTACCGTAAAGGTATCTCACGACGAAAGCAACTCTGTTATCCCAGGTATAGGCCATTGTTATTCAACTCTCAACGAGAGATTAGACACAGGTTCACAGATCGGTCGCGTCTTTTGAACTAAACTCTGTAAGACTCGTGGCCCGTCACTAAACAGTCAACTAAATATATCTGCGGAACAAGCTGGTACACAGTTTAATATTAACAGTTGGAAAAACCAATTAACATATAGCACTTACCTACTGACTGCGTTTCACTATTTTTGTGCGAAAAAATTCAAATCGTGCGTGTTTTTAACGTACGGAGCACACACCGTCTTTTAAATTAATATTATATATCTGTGATCATTTTAAATTCTTGGCAGAAAATAATAGACATAGTTTGCTCGTGTATTAGAGTATGTTAAAAGAAGCTTTATTCGTACACTTTTTTTTCTAGTTAGAGAAACTATAATGTATTGATTTTGAAAGGAATGACCAATCGTACTGTTATACTTTGGTTTAAATTAAACTTCTTTAACGGATATAAACGTGACATATTACATTAACAAGTTTCAAGTGCTTTTCAATAGTGGCTAGCGAGTCTCACGCTTGTTATATTACACACTCAAACTCAAAATATCTTTATTCATATAGGTAAACAAGTACACTTATGAATCGTCAAAAAGAAGTTAAATTAATTGTAAATTTACATTTATTACCAGTTCGCAAGTCAAGGGCGTAGAGAGGGTAAGAAGAACTGGCAAGAAACTTTCCGCCACTCTTTTTAGTCGCCAATTAGTATTGTCATACAAATTGTTTGAACTGGAGGAAATCAATCCCAAGGATTAGGATCATTTAAGTATTCGTCAAATTTATAAAAAGCTTTATTGATTAGTGCGTGTGACTCGCTAGCAGTTTTATTTAAATGTACAGTAGTACTGGCGTAAACCAAGAAGTGTTATACTGGTTTTATAAGTCTGTGCCAGCCATGTATCGGGTCAGTTTCATTGTGTTTGGCAGTACAGGTGCTTCGACGCAGGAATAAATGGTTACACCAATTAATATAGCGAGCTGAATCACGAATCGATGACTATCTTGTAGCTCAATTAGCGAATTCTATTACCACAAGATGCGGCTTGTAGTGGGTATTAATAAATTGTTAATCTATTTCTGTATTCACGTAAATCTATAGTTTCAATGTTTCTACTTTACTTATTCTACTAAAATCTTTTTTATAGACGTTATCAAAATATGTAATCTAGTTTCTATTCTGGGTCCTAAAGTTAGGCCCCTATGATTGGAAAATGGAAGTGGAAATATATAGATAGATTACATATTGTATAAATAAAAATAGTACATCATTCATACACGATTCAGCGAATTCGCTTTATATAAACATAACACATAATGTATAGATAGTTATATAATCCCGTGTGTCACCACCATAGGATAATTATATTTTATATAAACAAAAAAACCATTGCAACATAGTAGTACAAAGATCCTTTATATTTCAATAGCCGAAATGCTGTTACATGATTTACGAACCACTCTTAGTTCTTACTAAGTAACGTTTCCTTGTAGAGCGTGAGAACAATGTGTCAGCACAACGGTCACGTAGGCCTTTAAGAATAGGATATAAATATAATAGAATACTTGTAATATTTAGTATTAAACGGACCTCAAATCGGACCGGTTGTATTCATTTTAACTTTAAGTTTTTAAAAACCCTTTTTCGCGGACCCACTACTTGACTGGCGCTGAGGACAGGATAGTCGCTCTAGCTGCACGTACTTCTCAATTATCGGTTCGAGCATCAAATTCTGCTTACCTAAAAAGGGGAAACTACGTCGCGATTGCTAAAAACGGCTATTCAAAAGAACAAATAAATTTGTCAAGAACGCAAATCCAAAAGCGTTAAGGGTGTTTTGTGCGAGTGTTGAGGCAGCGATGTACTGGTAAGTCACCTTTTCACCTTTCAAATCCAGCCCTCTCCACTTTTCTTTTGTTATTTTGAGATCGACATCTCTCATCTTAACGATAGTTTTAAGACTTTGTTAGATTTAAATTCATATAAACGTAAATTGTAATAAGTAAATTAAAGAAACATAGAAGTAAGTAGGTTAGTGCATGAAATTCTGCAACCCCTAAAGTAAGTATAAGTTTAGATTCACATCAAATTCTGTGAGCTAAAATTATTGAGTAATTGTGTAATTATTTAATCAAACAATTCCTGAAAGAATACATAAAACCCAAAAGAAATATTTTATATATTTCGGAAATACGGAACATCGCAAACAATTCAGCAACATGGTAATTAGGCTTTTTAAAGGTGGATCAATTCAATTTTATGAGTGTACGGAAAGAATCGTTTTTATTGACGATGAAAATAAACAGAAAGCCGTTATTCTGAAATTTCATCTCGGAAAAACCTGTCACAGAGGTATTCAAGAAACTTTTACACGCATCAGGCGACACTTCTTTTGGAATAACATGAAAGAAACTATATCAGCAGTAATTAATTCTTGTGAAGCCTGTAAACAAATGAAATATGACCGAAAGCCTTTGAAACCATATTTACAGTTAACTCAAACGCAAGATGCCCCATCCCAGGAATTATTTATAGATATATTTAGTATCGAAGGAAAAAGATACCTCACCTTAGTTGACGCTTTTAGCAAACTATTACAGGCAATTGAAATTCCTAGTAAAGGCATACCTGACGTTATCCGCGCACTAATAAAATACTTTTTATTTTACGGCATACCTAAGAAAATAAGCTGCGACCCTGGTCCTGAATTCAACAACGATTTATTTAAAGAATTGATGTCACTCTATAAAATCCAAATACATATCGGCACACCTAGGAACCCTAATTCAATGGGAATAGTTAAACGTTTTCATTCCACCTTAATTGAAATTTACAGACTGACAAAATACGAACAACAATGTACCGACGCCGCATCTATTATATCACTCATCATGGCATATAATAATGCGATTCATACTGTAACAACTTTAACACCGTTTGAAGTAGTGTTTGGCCATGTAGATTCTGAAAACGCATTCAATATAGACTTCGAGAAACGATACTTGCAAAAATTAATTAAAGATCACGCCAAAAGAATAAAAGTTTTATACAAAATCATATCTGATAAAATGTTAACGTTTAAGGAAAACTCTAGAGAAAAACGCGGTGGCGAATCCGACGTCCCGTTACCAGAAGGGAAAACAATTTTCACAAAATTAATAAACACTCGTAGAAGTAAGTACAAACCTTGTTTTGAAAAGGCCATAGTTACAGGAAAACCTGAAAGAAACACCATCCCTATTAAAATTAGAGGTAAACACAAAAAGGTACCAATTAAAAACATAAAACGACCTCCAAAGGTGGTGCTTAGTGATCACGATGACACTCACGAGCCCCAGCTTGGGCCTTCAACTTCAAAAGGTTGAAAACAATTCAGGGATCCGTAAGACAGGGAACATCCTTCATCAAACAGGATAACTGGCTTATTTTTAAGGTATTAGATTTGAATGGCCTACTAATGGAATTAGAATATAACAATAGGAAATATAGTAATTTTAGTAAGATAGTAAGTGATGATAAGCCTTAGTTTAAAGAATTTTTAGGAATTAGGGAACAAGTAGAGTATTTGCAAAGAATAACTACTGAAAAGATTAGGCAAATAATCCCTTCACACCGAGTACGAAGAGGAATATTGAATCCTCTAGGCTCTATTATTAAAATGATAACTGGAAACTTAGATCAGGAAGATGCTCAACGATATGAACAGTAAATTAATCAATTAGGTAATCAACAAAATTTCAACAAACAAGCGTTTAACAGTTGTTTCCAAAATGTTAGATGGACTCATTAATTCATCAGAAATATTACACAATAACTCAAAAATTATGGACGAAAGACTAAAACGTGTAGAAAAAAAATGTTAAAAGACATAAGTACTAAAGAAAATAATGCAGTATACTCTACATATGTTTTAAGTTTATATAATCTTTTTGTAAGTAATTTTAGAACGCTTTATATAAAAAATAAGCGAATTAGAAATTGCTTTGGCTTTCACCACAACCAATGTTTTACACATTTATTACAGATTTTAATTTATATATCACAGTCAGAAAATCTTATGTATCCACCCACTTGGGATAATTTAGTTAAATTAGAAGATACGATTAATGTTAAATCATACATGATAGACAGGAAAATAACTTTTGTATTAGAGGTAGCTTTAATAACCAATTCAACTTATAGTTATAATAAAATGTATCCCTTACCTATCTTTCATGACCCTAAAAACCTAACCTTAATAATCATTCCTAAATATCCCTATATCCTGGTGAAAGGTGTAACATACTTACTGCTTATACAGCCTTGCAAACAAGTCTCTGAGGAAAATTTATTATCTCTGCACACAAGAAAACAGGGGCACCGTATCCTGAAACGACATGCATTGAGGAGCTGATGACCTTCAAGGAAAACCCATCCAACTGTGACCAGAATACAGTAATTATAGAAGAGATTAACCCTGCGATCTCAACATCAATGACATCCAATTACATCATCAGCGTTCATATACAGAAAATATGTCATCAGAACGTATCCCATCCATTAAGCTGCTGGAGTTACAGTCAACAGTGAACTCTAAGGAAAATCAGAATCCAGTAAACTTACAAGGAATGGAGCTCAGTGACCGGCAACACATGTCTTACATGCTGTAACAACTTAACAGAGATAGTGATAGTGAAATGGGCAATTCAGTGAAAGTGAAAAGCATTAGTTTAGGCACTCTTTTATTGTATTTTGCTAATTGTTGTGTTTTTTTATAAAAAATAAGATTATTAATATGTTGCAGTGGCGAAATAATCAGAATTTGCATGTGCAATCCCCTGATAATTTCGCTCTTAAGGAGAGAGGAGTTATATAATCCCGTGTGTCACCACCATAGGATAATTATATTTTATATAAACAAAAAAACCATTGCAACATAGTAGTACAAAGATCCTTTATATTTCAATAGCCGAAATGCTGTTACATGATTTACGAACCACACTTACATGATTTACGAACCACTCTTAGTTCTTACTAAGTAACGTTTCCTTGTAGAGCGTGAGAACAATGTGTCAGCACAACGGTCACGTAGGCCTTTAAGAATAGGATATAAATATAATAGAATACTTGTAATATTTAGTATTAAACGGACCTCAAATCGGACCGGTTGTATTCATTTTAACTTTAAGTTTTTAAAAACCCTTTTTTCGCGGACCCACTACTTGACTAGATACTAAACATGTATCTCTTATGTCCTGATATATGTCTAGTAAGTAATATTTCATATTATGGTTTGCGACTTTAATGAAAACCTTTTCAGTCGCACATAGTTTTTGCGTGCAACGGACAGGCAGTCTTTATATATCTTTGAATTGTCATAAATAATGTTAATTGTTATCCCGTAACTGTCACTGTCATGACTCTTGTCTAATAACAAGATTAAAGTTTGTACTTGTAAATAATAAAAGAAAACTAATTCCAAAACGTTTCTTACCTTGAACATGGATAAATAGCTGAATTTTTAATGATGCTTAAAATCAACATGTGTACAAAAACCAACTTATTTTTATTGATTGCGCTTGCCGGTAAGTCTCTTATGAAATTGTTTTATTTTCGAAGCATGTTTACAATCCAATTACTTTAATCGAGTAAGAATACGTCTAAATTTTCCAGGTTTATCATTATCTGTGCAGTATGATATGGACGAAGAAGTTGCCATCGATGTGCCGCGAGAAGAGGACATGGAAATGGAAACTGTTGACGATTCAGAATCATTACTCTCGAATGTTGTGTCCGATGTTAATCGAACTTTGTCCAATCTGTACTTCCATGTTACCTCTAGTAATGCAACTGTGGAGAATAAAACCCAAGCTCTAAATGAAACTAAAAAACTTGTTAAGTGCAAAGAAATTATGTATGAAAGTGAAGATATTGAACCATTAGTTGAAATTGTCAATGGCGGTAACTTGTCTAAATTATTGCAAGTGAAACCAGACATATCAGGGCGGGATGTAGATGCTGATTGTGTATTAGTTTTGTTCTATGCTAGAGCCTGTCCTTTTAGTGCACATGCAGCCCCACATTTCAATGCCTTAGCTAGATCTTACCCAAATATTAAAATGGTTGCATTAGATGCATTAAGGCATCATGGGATTAATGCGCAGTATGGTATTGTTGGTGTCCCAACATTGAAGATGTTTCACAATGGTCGACCAGTTGGCAAGTTTAATGGAACTGAGTATAACATCCATTTATTCAGTAAATTTGTCAATGCTATAACAGGGCAGAATCCTCAAGGCCTATTGGTGATGTCTAAGGACTTCCAAGGACCAGTTTCGAGTACAGCAGAAAAGGAAACAGATTTCTTCCTCATATTATCATGGTTGTTTATTGTTGTGTGCTCAATATATTACTTTATGGAATCAAAGTGGTGGACAATGATTGTGGAAATGGTGCAAAATAATTGGAGAGAATCAGTCGCTCAACATGAACATAATGACTGAGACTATATACATTTAAGCTTAATTATAAATGGTATATAGCTATTATCTCAGATTTTATTAAACAACAACAGCCATAAATAGTTTTTATTAAATTTATGTATATAACACATAATAAATTACTCCAATTGTGCAGGCATTTTGGTACCATTCAGGCCAGCTAGAATATTGTTGGCTGTCATCTCACTCATGTTTGATCTAGTTTGTATTGCCGCACTGCCTATATGAGGTAGTATAACGCAGTTTTTTAATTTGAACAGTGGACTATCCAAAGGCAAAGGCTCTGGTGAAGTAACATCTAAACCAGCAGCTCTAATAGTGCCATTCTGCAATGCTTCTATTAGTGCATTTTGATCAACAATTCCTCCACGACTTGTATTAATAAATACAGCAGAGTTTTTCATCTTCTTAAATGCGTTTCTATTAAACATCTCTTTGGTTTCTGGAGCTAATGCTGCACAGCATATCACAAAGTCACTTTTAGTAAGTAATTCATCAAAGCTTACTTTAGTAGCACCAATTTCTTTTGCCTCTGATTTTTCACTTCTATTAAAGTAGAGAAGTTGTGATGTGTTAAAAGATTTAACACGTTTTGCAACTGCCTGACCAATTCTACCAAAGCCAACAATTCCCACAGTGGCATCAGCTAAACCAGGTCCGGTCATCCATGTTGGAGCCCAGGAAACCCAACCTCCAGTTCTGGCCTCATGCATAGCCTCAGGAAGTCGCCTTGAGGTACATAATAGAAGTGCTAACTGAAAATTAAGAAATGACCCTAATTAACTAATAATCTCTAAAGACAAGAACTGGAAGAAACATTTATAATTGAAGCTAACCTTGAATTTTATCACACAATAGATATGCTAATGAACAACTGTGTAGATGTTGCTAAAAGCAATATTTAAAGACAAAATATAAATGTTAAACGTAAATACACTAGAACTATACTAAAATAAAGTTGCCATGCAGTTTCTACTAAATCTAATTTAAGTTTAAACATGTATTTGAGTTGATATAAAAATGCTTATTTCTTTCTCATCCAAATTTATACAATCTAGTGTAATATGATGCCAAGTTAACAATTGGTTTTGGTAATAGGATTAATTTAAATAGCTATATTCATATTAATAAAAAAAAAACACTTGTTACATCGACATACCGTTAGCTCAGCAGTGGCATCTGTCAAGACATCAGGAGTGTATCCAATTTTAATGCCTCTCTTTTTACATTCTCCTACATCAATGTGATCATAGCCAACAGAGATGGTTGCCACAACTTTTAACTCTGGCCCAGCAGCATCAAGCAATTCCTTATCAATTTTGTCAGTTATACAACAATATATTCCATTCACTCCCTGGACTGACTTAATAAAATCTGCCTTAGGAATAGGCAGAGGACCATCCCATACTTTTAGTTCACATCTGTAAATAACATAATATTCTGATTATAAACTTTTTAGTAACACTTTTTAAAATGAATACAAATATTTTTGTGATAATTCAAATTTTTATCCGATTTTGAAATAATTCTAATACTTACTGTTTTTTTAAAATATCCACACCACTTTCAGGCATATCAGAGCGGGATATTAAAACTTTAAATTTTTTTGAATTACCCATTTTTCTTAAAATATTGATCGCAATACTGTTGCATACTAAAGTATGAGGAAAAACTGCGAGTCTTTTATAGAACATGAATAGGTAACCTATTGATTTTTGAAATATCCTTGAGAGTTACGCCTATGGTAAATATTTAGGCGGTGCTTCTCGCGGCTGCGTATTTTTTGTTTCCGCTTTGAATAATGAGGGTTTCGCAAAGTAAATTGCTAAATGTAACGATAAAACGGTTCCAAGAATAACTTTTCCCTTTGTGGACTTTATAAATGATAAACCACTCATAGTTTTAACTAAATATTGTCAAGTTCATAATTTAATAAGTATGTATATGAACTTATGTAATGATCTTATCACATAGTCACAATTTTTAGTAAATAAAGACCTTGAATAATTTTAGAAAATGAATACACATAACACAGTGCTAGATGAGAAATCTTATGACGCTGAGTACTGACTACTGACACTGTTTCTGTGATTTGTGACTTTGTGAGTGACACTGATTACTGAGTTATGATTACTGACATCAACAATTGTCATTGTGGTTCTAAGAAAATACGTAAACAAACGCGCTTATATCATTCGCCGATTAAAGTCTTTCGCTTCAAATCATCTCATCGTTTCAAATTCCTTACGTCTTATACTGTGGATTTTAAAACAACGGAATATAAAAAAGGGTGCGTGTACTTATGTACGCGCGTAAGAAGTTATACTTCTTTGGCTTTCTTTATTTTTTTTTTAATATTAAATAATTAATAATAAATATTTAACGTTAATAATTTAATAATATTGAATATTTAGTATATTATTCAATTATTAATTAATATTAATAACAATAATAATTATTATTTATTATTTTATTATATTATTCATTCAATTTAATAACTAGGTATGTTTCATAACCTTTTAACTAAGTAACAATAGGTCTTTGTGAAAAAGCATTGCTAAATTTCTTTGAAAAAATAATTAAAACTCCTTTATTTGTTAAAAAGGTACTACAAAGGTCATTATGGTCATTCAAAATTCTTGGCATAGCTGCTAACTTCACATCATCATTTCTTTTTACTTGTAGATTGTCTTATTCCCATCTCGCTCGCGCAGGACGCGCACGCTCGGCGCCCGGCTGGCCGAAAAAGAATTCGGTAGTGGGCAACTTCATGCTGATAATTTTGTGTCACGGTGCGCGCGCATCGTAAAATTTAACTCTCATCAATTTTTCATAACGCGCCTAAAGAAGTATAACTTCAAAAACATTAAACGTTTAGTTACCGTGCCCGTCGCATTAATTGTTTCGAAGGGAACTCATAAGGAATAACTAATTATGACGACTATAATTAACGAGCTACTAGTTTAGGCACCAATAATGAAAATAAGTCCTATAGACTCAATAAATATGGTGGCATTAATAAACTTGATTGATTTTAAATGTCAGTTTAGTATAAGTAATAAAATAGATAAGCTAAGGTGCGAAACTTTATTTTTATAGAATGATGGTGGATCGCAAGAATAAGAGAGCACATAAACTTTACAAAATTTAAGTAACGCAGATTAACCGTTACGCAATCGCAGTTATAAACGTAAAGACAGTTAGTTACTCATTATCTCTAGTTAATTTTCAATTAGCGTTTAACGAATGCCTTTCACAAAAACGTAATTATTTCGCCTCGAAAATAATTAATTACCTAATCTGCTTTGCTACACGATCTAAATTCTAAGGAATGCAATTTAACTTTCATCATTCTTAGATACAGAAGTAATGCACAAAAATCTTTAATAATGAAAAACGCAGCGACTTTCTAACAGTAATTGCAACATTCTCACGAAAGTGCAAAAATAATTCAGAAGCGACAAGGTGTTTGGTTATGAAAAATCGCAGAAAATTAAGTAGGTGTTTTGCGTCTTTATTAGGGTTGCTGCACAGATTTTATGCATATATAAAAACATAAAATAACGTTTAAAAAGTACTTAATATTTACTTGGTAAGTACTTAGTCCAAATGCTGTCTATGTGCCCATCAAAGACTTAGACATACAGTTAGCATTCGAATTCTATTAATAAACGGACGTTGATAATTAGACATAGGTAAATGCAAGGTTAAAGGAAAGGAAGGAAAAGGAAAAATTTGGAATTGGTGTAATTTATATACAATATAAAATACACACCCTTGGGGCTTAGTCAAGATGGGATAACAGTACCTAGTGTATGTAGAAAGTCGAAAACTTAATTTGTATAAAAAAATCAGTTAAGGCATCTTGACTAAAGGCCCTGTTTAATGAAATAACTTATGCGACGATTGCCAACCCTAGACGCGACAAAGTGAAAGCTCAGAATATCTATTTCTAGATTCAGTATTTATTTGTAATGGACATCTTTAGCCAATTAAAATATATATCATAATGTCTTGATTATCATCGAACAAAAAGTATTTGTTAGCTCGCGATTGCTAAATCATTTTTAAGTTTACTAAATCAAATCAGTTGCAAAAACATATTTAAATAAATCATTGTCTTCATGGAAAAATCTACAGATTACATTAGATACAATTCAAAACTTCTTGTTTTGAATCTATGAAGTTTAAAAAACAAAAAAAAAAAAAATGGCGGGCTTAGTAAAATAGACAAACAGTGCCAATTGAATTAAGATTTTTCTAAATTTTGTATGGACCAGGAGATGGTGGAATATTAAAGATGATATAATGCGTAATATGTAAGTCATTGTCGTATTCCTGGACAAAAAGATATTATTTTTCTATATAGTTTTTATTAAAAATTATTAACATGATGAAATGTTCAAATTTTTTAAATTGTAGCAGTGAATTCTTGAATGGTCAAAATATGTAAACTTATAGGTCACATGTTTTATGGCTTGGTTCCCATGACTTGGGGCTGGATTGCATCTGTACCGGTGAAATGTAGGTACTGTCAGCATTTGATATGCTATTATTTTTGTAATATCCTTACTTTATACTTTACCACTACTCCGATCGCTTACTCGCTGCTGAGCGTCGTGATGGTCCGGACCCCATCTCTGACGATCGCCAGCTTGCTTGACATGAGAGACTTTAGTACTCATGTTTTATGATACTTGGTCGGTCAATCGTATCTGGGGAAGTCAAGATGCCTTAACAGTAGTGTATGTGGAAAGTCGAAAACTTAATTTGTATGAAGTTGACAGTTTGTGTCGACCAATTTTCATACTAATGCCCTGGCTGTGTCTTAGGCTCTTCATACCTGTCAATCTCATTTAGGTATATTGTAGACATTTTATTAGGCCCCAAAAATGTATGAAAAAGTCGTCTCTATATTCAAAAATTTTATATGCACTAAAATTTAAAATATTTGCAATCATGATATTCCCACTTGCTGACGGTACACAGTCTATGCCAAGATGTGACAATTGCCAACTATGTCGGCTGATAGACAAGTGTGGAATTGTGAATGTGTTGCCCTGTTTAAATAAAGTATAAGGACGACGGTATTTAGGAGACCTGTTACTGTTGTTGCTCGAATAATACTCCCTATACATACGAATATATATAAATAAGACAACAAGCACACACATCTTGTGTGTGTGGATTCCTGTAGTAATATTAAGTTAAAATCCCTAATCGGACCTAACGATTCCGGAATATGTCCAGACCGGAAGTATTAGAATAAGGTGAGATTTACAGAGAGTTGATTAAAGACGAGCTAGTAGTATTCAAAAATGCTTTCCTAAAATACAGTTTTTGTAGACTTAAATATAAGTTGCCATACGCGAAAAAGTATACTTTTTCAAATGGCAATGACATATTAGGGTCATAAACAAATCCGGTATGAAAAAAATAAAAAGTAGTTTTTTTTTGTTTTAATCAGCATTTATTAAGAAAAAAGATAAAATAATCATGGGAAAAATATTATCAGAGATCGAAGCCTTAATTTGTACTAATAACTAGATATTTTAATTATTAACTGTCCACAGAATAGACAACAAAATCAACAGAAAAGATAAAATGTGTATTTTGGCTACGTATAACTAAACTAAAAATTATATATTTCTTAGAATCATTATAATCTGGTTGTATTATACTACTTCAATTTAAAATGAGATAAAAAAATAAACTCTAGTTTAAAAAAAATATAATTATTTTATGTCCACAGAAGAGATTTCTTTTCGGTCGACTCTTAATTAAATATTACTATCAATCAACTATAGCTGAGCTCTACAAATAAAGTGAGAAAATAGATCATAAAACAAAAGATGACGAAACTATAGCGTGTTACAAACGTCGTCGCTTATAGTATGCTAGAACTGTCAGAGAAGGGATTGAAAACTAGTCTTTTAGCCTGCTGAGGTTGTATAATCAAGTCGTCTTCATCGCTGCCGTCTGTGCGTAATGGATGAATACGTTGTAGAGGAAAAATTACATCTGAATCATCAGAGTCTGATAGGAACCTCGATCTCTTATAGGGACGTGAGATGTGAGGGGGATCCTGAGAAACTGTTTCTTCTTCAGGTGTAACCAGATTTGACCTATAAGTAACTGTAGAAGCATTGGCTGTGTCTACACTTCTCGGAGATATATTTCTTGCGTCAACTAAACTCAAGGGACTATGTGATCGCGTATCAGCGACTGGAACCTTTATCTGACCCATTTCAAAATGTGGACAAACTGCATTTGTAGCACAAGACAGACAACTAAGCCTCCTTACATGTAAAATATTTGGTTCGCTTCGATTCCAAGAAAGTTGGTGAATCTTAAATGTCCCTTTATAAGCATTCATTTTATTTTTGGCGACCATTTCTTGAATATCTTGCACATTTGGATCTCCTATTCCGTAAATCTCTATACCTTTACAATTTTCTTTTAAACATAACATAAGAGAATCATAATCAGGGACGTCTTTACCCATTGCGACTGAATTGTCACATAGCCTTTTGATGCAACTACCCACTCCGTCAGGGGCACCTTTGCCATGACCTTTCTCACTGTAGTGCCATATAATATTGTTGACATCATTTAAATCTTGGCTTATGAAGTTTACAATTAAAAAGAACATAGATTTGTTTCGGTACTGCGTTGTTTGGACCGTCACTTAATA